GGGGTCGGAACCTGGTTACAAAGGATCAGGGAGAGGAAAGGTGCTGACCAGGAAGGAAAAGGAAGTAGTGTTTGTTCTTAACAGAGCCACAGGAGCAGAGGGCAGGGCCTGGGACCCAGGAGGGCTGCTGCATAGCTTCTAGGCCTCAGGCCATGAGAAGAGGTAGAAATAGCTGCACGCTAGGAAAGGTGGGGACATGAGATCTAGAGACCATGTGACAGTACTAGCCAAGTGGGGGACTTCCAGGTTGTGCCCAAAAAAACTCTGAGAAGGCGTTAGTTAGTAAAAAAAGGGGGAGGAAGCCCTAGCTGTGGTGTCCCGGGCTTTGAAACTAATAAAGCTACCTCTCATGTGCGCCAGAAGCAGTATGCACGTCATAGGAGCCAGAATGGCCGAGCTGAACCTGCCTCAGCTCCTCTGTCACGCGTCTGCTCAGCCTGTACAATGACCCACGAGCACCTGCCAATTCTGTTGCTTCAATCCTTACTGTCTACCCCACTCCAAAGAATGGAAGCCAGGAGGGCAAGGGGTTTAGACCAAATAGACTTTTTCTTGAAATTAGAACTTATTTATTGACTTTAGAGAGAGAGAGGAAAGGAGAGAGTGAGAGAAAGAGAGAAACATCAATTTGTTGTTCTACTTATTTATGCATTCATGGGTTGATTCTTGTGTGTACCCTGACTGGGGATCGAACCTACAACCTGGGTGTATCAGGACGTGGTTCTAACCAACAGAGCTACCCGGCCAGTGAGACAAAATAGACTTTTTTTTTATCCTCACCTGAGGACATTTTTTTTTTTTTTTTTTGCATTTATCTTCAGACAGAAAGAGAGGGAAAGAGAGAGAGAAACATCAGTGTGAGAGAGACACATCGACTGGCTGCTACCCACACAACCCCAACCGGGGCCAGGGACAAACTGCAACCAAGGTACGTGCCCTTAGCAGGAGCCAAACCCGGGACTCTCTGGTCTACAGGCTGACACTCTAACTGCTGAGCCAAACTGTCCAGGGCCAAAATAGACCTTTTGTTGGCCACTTTTATTCTGGCATGTGAAGGCTCTCACTGAGCACGTGCAGAATCTAGGCCTCACAGCTGATCTGTGACAGTGGTGTCACTCTCCCTATACAGGTGGGAAATGGGTCCGTGGTTTGCTTAAGGTCACATAATGCCAGAGAGTGACTCAGCCCTGTTGGACTCCAGAGTCTAGTGTCCACCCCAGGTTCCCAGAAACAGGGGTGGGGGTGTAATCTGGGGAACAGGAATCCAGAGAGCCAGGCCTGAGAGAGGGGGCCACCTGGAAAGGAGGTCTTAAGCAAAGGCAGCTGTCATCTGCCCGGGCCTGCTCTGAAGGTCCAGGGTTGGGTGGGGTGTCTTGTCCAGCAGCCCCGTGGACCTCTGCCTTCTCTCCCTAACACTCACACTGGGCTTCTTTCAGTTCCCTTTGGTGACACGGCTTCCTCACCCCGCCCTCCCACACACACTCACACACTCTAGACCCCACCAGGTTGCTACAGGCTCAATCTGATGCCCAGCCAGGGGAAGTTGGGGCAGGGGCCATGTCACCATTGGGAGTGAGGGACCTGGACACACATCTCTGCGGAGGCTTCTGGGGAGTTGGAGGCCATATCTCTCTGTTCCCCATGTGCCCCTGGGGGGAACTGGGAGTGATCACATGGAGAATGGTGTAGCCACACTTCCCCTTTGCTTGTACTTGACTATAAAACAGCATCCGGAGGTAAGGGGACTCTTCAATTTTGCAAGAGCCTGAGTGATGCTCTCTGCGCCTGCCCCTTCCTCCCTATGTCATGTCTCCCTATGTCATGTCTCTGGCCCAGAGTGGTTCTTGACTCAGGTTCCCCTGGTCCTGGCAAGGTGGGTCCTGAGCTGAGGAGAGCACCTGTACAGCCATCATCCCTGGAGCCTCAACCAGAGCTGTGAGCTCAGTAACATCGTCTCCCCTTTACAGACAACGAGACTCACAGGACCTGCAGCAGGTCACTGAGCTTGAACACAACAGAGCTGGATGGAAGCTCAAGTGCAGGGCCCCTTCCTCTACACATAGCCCCCACATGGTTCCTGATGAAGTTCAGAGTTTCTGAGGGTGGGGGCCTCACCCGAAAAAGGGGACAGTGTGTGCTTGGAGGGCAGAGTGCAGAATCCTAGTCTTATGGTCTCTTAGACTATGTGGGGGGCATTTGACAATAAAAGAAGGCTCTGCCCTGGCTGGTGTGGCTTAGCAGATAGAGTGTTGGCCCGAGCACCAAAAGGTCTTGGGTTCGATTCCCAGTGAAGGCCCAGCCTTGGTTGGGTGGAGTTTGGAAGGCAACCAGTGATGTTTCTCCCCCCACCCCACTGTCTCTAAATGGAAACAGTATTCTGGGGTAAGGATTAACAAAATCAAAGAAAAAAGAAAAAGAAGGCCCTTCTTGACTATTGCTCCAGCTATTTTTTCTAGTCCAAAAAATAATATTTTCTTTTAAGCATTACTGGCCTCCAGTGGAAAAGTGTCCCATTTTGTGGGGGACCACTTTCAACTAAATACCAGTTTTGTTTTTAAAGAAAATAATACAATACAATGTACCCCATCCACACTCTAAATTTAAAAAATATGAAATAGTGAAATATTCAGCAGAAACAAATAGTAAAATACTAATGTATAATTATATTTCCAACTTATATTTGGGCTACAAGGAATGGAGGAGAGAGGGAAAGACAGAAGAGAAGAAAAAGACAACACATAATGAGTGATGATACAGATCCCGGGTAAAGATCAGCAACTCAGGTTTTCCTAGAGGGAAGGAGAAGGGAGGGGAAGGTCAAAGTTGATTCATCAACTGACTGATAGCCTATTTGTTAAAAACACAGGCACTAAACTTTAAAGGGCAAATAGTACTTTCTGGAACTTATATATTTTATTTGCTACCTAAAATGTAGTCAGTTCGCTTGAAAATGTTCTTCTTTTAAAAATATTTTTATTGAAAATTACTATAGAAAACAATGAAAACGGGACTGGTTCCCGAGTAAGCGGATCCCAGTGGGAATCAGACATTAAAACCATGAATGAAACCAGCCAGGACGAGCTTTGGAGCTCGAACCGATGCAGGAGGGAAGCTTTTCGGAGGAGGTGATGCCGGAACTAGATTTGAAGCGAAGAATGTTCCATGAGAAAGGAGTAGGACATGTGAAGGCTGAGGTCAGCGATCGAGGCCCGTTCGTGGAACCGAAAAACGTTCAGAATGGTAGATGGATAGTCGTCGTAGCGGTGAGTGGAGAGAGGGGACAGGTGACTCTGACGCTGACCCTGAGAGGCCCCAGGGGACCCGAAAGGGGAGCCGGGGCAGACAGGTGTGGGGGTCGAGAATTAGAAGGAGCAGAGCGGCCTGAGGATCCGGTCTGAAGGCACCTCTAGCTGCAGGGGGCTGAGGTGACCCTTCAAAGGGTTGCGGGCGGTGGGGCGAGGGCCGGGGACTCTATCGGCCGCCCCCCGCACTCTCGCACGCGGCTGGCGGCTGGCTTGTGTTTGCACAGATCTGGAGCTCCCGGAGGACGCTGGCGGGGGCAGCTCCCAGGCCTAACTGAGCTCTGCAGCGGGGTGGGGAGGGCCTGGGGTTGTCTAACGCTGCGGTTCCAGATTGCCGGAGCCCAGTCGTCGGTCCTGGTCACCAGGCCGCCTGGCGTCTCTCTGGAGGCTCTGGGCTGGCGGGGAGCCCGGCCTGGCCTGATGCTCAGGCGGGCCGCAGTGCCGGGTCAGTGCGGGAGCCCCAGGGTGGCTCCGTGGGGCAGGGCGGGGCGCTGCCCGCGCACCCCGGCCCAGGGGCGGGGGCGGGCGATGCGGAAGTGCTGGGCGGTCGGACGGCCGAGCGGGAGGCGCAGCGCCGGAGAGTGCAGTCGGCCCGCCGCCCGGCCCGTGCTACCGGGCACAGCCACGCGGGTGCACCGCTGACAGGTAGGTCCCGGCAGCCGCGCTCCTCCGCCCGCGGGGCACCTGCCGGCGCGACTGGGGCGGGGCGGGCGCCGGAGGGGTCCACCTTCGGCTTGCATGGCGCCGGAGCTCAGGTGGGCGCCTGGTGCAGGCTCACCCCAGGAGTCTGGCGTCCTCGTGGGTGTCTCCCACGTCCCGATCAGCACAGGGTGCCCGCCTTCGTCCTGCAGGCGCCTGGGAGCCCGGCCGCCCTGCGGCAGAGTCGCCCCGCTGCCAGAGGCGCCAGGTCTGCGGGTCTCCCTCCGACTCGAGTCGCCAAAGATGGATGAGGAGCCCCCAGGCGCCCGGCAGGAGCCTGGCCTCGACCGCGGAGGGGCGAGCCCCAGTTCCCCCTCTGTGCTCTCTCCGGGTACTTCTCACCCTTTCGGGTAGGAGGGTGAGGCTTGGAAAGTGCATCCTCCCAGGATCGTCGGCCAATGGCAGGAATTCGGGCAGGGAGTGTGTGGGAAGATGGTGTCAGGCAGAGGCGCCGCCTTCGGCTGGTGGCGGAGAAAAGGAGGCGCTGACCTCCTAGCAGAGAACTGCGGGCGCAACACTTCTCGGACTAATTAATTACTCTACGTCCTTCCCGCGAACTTAAAAACCGAGCAACTGAGTCTCGAAGTGGAGGGAAGAGACTAGTGTGGCAGTGATGCGGCTCAGGAGGCGGCGAATACCTGCGCCGGACCCGCGCGGTGGTTTCCGGGACCCCAGAACCGGGGCGGGCTTGGGGGTACTTTCCTAGCCTCACCACCACCAGACACAGCAGGGCGGGGGATAGGTCGGGGTCACCGCCAACCCGAGGAGCGGTCTAAGGCGGACCCTGAGCGAGCTCCGGGGAGAGGCGGCCGCAATCCGCCTGGGGCGGAACCTGCGCGCGGCCCCAGCCGCAGGGTCTGGCCTGCACCCCCTCCGGCCCAGAGTGGGGAGAGTGAGTAGGAGCAGTAAGGACGCAGGTGAGGCCGCTGAAGGAAGCTAGAGGTCTTTCGGAGGGGGCAATGGGGCCGGAGACAGAGTCCCCAACCTCCCCTGAACTATTGGCCGGGACGCTGGGGCTCCCAGCAAGTCTAGGGAGGCACTGGGAAAACACTCTTTCTTATCTAAAGGCCCCATTTGGGGGGTTCCCCCTGCGCCTCGGCCTTCCCCCACCGTGCCCCTGGGAGGGTGGGCCTTCCCCCACCGTGCCCTTTCTTGCCTCTTCTACTGGGAGGAGGCCGAGGGGGGCTTCTTCTTGCCTCGTCTACCGTCCCCAGTCCCTGCTTGTCTCAAGGTGTGGTCAACTCATCTGGAGGGGCAGTCTTTAGGGTCTCCCTGGTGCAAGGAGCGCCCCCCCCCCCCCACTCCGCTTCTCCCTGAGCTTGGTGTGGGGTTTGCGGAGAGACGATGTGAAGCAAATCCTAGAGGTGGCAAGGGGCTTGCTGCTCTGCCCTCTGTTGGGGGCTGAGGTGCTTTTCCCCCTAGAGCTCCCTGGTGCCCACAGTGTTCCAGGCACCTCAGGTTGCTGGGTCCTGGGACTTCAGGTCCCTGGTGTGAGTTGTGGGGCCTCCCACATCCCAGAGCGGCTCTGGGCGGCCCTGCTAGATGCTTCACTGATGGGGGACTCCCTCAGCTGCTGAGCAGCCCACAGCTCTTTGGGCATCTCCGTGGAAGCTGAGGCCGGCACTGCGGTCTTTCCCCACTTTGCAGCTGTCAAGGAGTCAGGCAGACCCCTGGCCAGTGCTGCCCTCTGATGGAAAGTCAAGTCCTCCTCCCAGCCTTGGGGAGGACTTTCTGAGGGTGCCCTGTAGCACCTGGGGCTCCCTGGGAAATCTGGGCAGCTGCTTCTATTTGAAGGGAAGGTAGGGATGGAGCAGAAAGACGCTGAAATTCAGAACTCCTGGCATTAGGATGGTCTGAGAAATCTAAGTTTACCTCCCGCCGGTGGACGCTGGCTGTAGGTAAGACTCCCTGAGGCTGAAGATCCCTCTGTGGTGTGCTGGGCAGACCCTTCTTGGTTCTGCCAGGCTTATTGTGGGAGCCCTGCCTAGGCTTCCTGAGGGGGCTGTCCCTTTCTGACATGAGGCTAGAGTTATAATTTCCAAACCTCTGTGCTGAACAGCAGTGCTGGGCAAGGCCAGGAGTGGGATTCAGCCAACTTCCTCCTTACCCTTTCTGCTCTCCCAGCTGCACCACCCCTGGCACAGCTGCTGGCAGACCCTACATGGGGGTCATCAGGGAAGACTCCCTTCCCTCTGTGTGGACAGAGCTTTCCCCTGCTCACCTGCACCGTAGCCAGAACTGCCTGCCACTGCGACAGTGCCTCTCTATTCTAGGACCAAGGCCTTTGGGGGGAGGTGACTCGGTGCTGGGAACCACACTAAATGTATAATGATCGCCAGCAGACTTGGAGGTTGGGGGACAGGCTATGAGGTAAGAGACTGAGAATTTGGTCTGGGGGACCCAAGTGAGAATTTCTTTCCACATCCTTTCCTCCCCAATCTCCCAGTGAGTCAGGTTTCCGAGTTGTCCGGTCTGGCCACTTTCGTTTCCCCTGGTGCTGGGTGGAGGCTGGTACAGAAAGGGGAACTGAGCCACCCATCTTCTGAGCCTGGGGGCAGGACTGAAAGCTCTCCCACCCTCCCTGCTGCTTCGAGAGGCCTGCAGTTGGAGACGCCTCAGCAGGAGGTGGCACTTAGCTCCAGCCCAGAAAGGTACTGGTCAGGGAATTTCAGGGGAAACTGAGGCTCAGTGCTCCCAGACCACAGCAGACCTGGAACAACAGAGGGGAGTCAGCATCCCACCCGGTCAGGCCAGGAACCCCCTAGGGCTTGACTACCCCCAGGCAGCAGCCTTTCTCTTGGGTCTGGTCTCACTTTCTTTGATCAGAGGGGACCCTGGAGAGAGTAGGCTGGGGGGGGGGGGCAGCTAGAAGACAGAATGCTTTCAGCCTCTGAGGTGTGTCAGTGGGCTGGTACTTCTTTCTTTCTTTCTCTCTCTCTCTTTCTCTCTCTCTCTTTCTTTCTTTCTCTCTCTCTCTCTCTCTTTCTTCTTTCATGCTCACCAGAGGAGAGGACATGCCCACTGATTTTAGAGAGAAGGAAAGGGAGGGAGTGGGGGAGAGAGAGAAACATCAGTGTGAGAGAGAAATGTTGACCAGTTGCCTTTCCTTATGTTACCCCAATGGGGAAGAACCTGCAACCTAAGCATGTGCCCTGACCAAGAAGCAAATCCACAACCTTTCGGTGCATGGGATGATGATGCTCCACCCAACTGAGCCACACCAGCCAGGTCCTACTTTGGTCCATCAAATGGCAGGGTTCTGGGCTGGGGGGAGTGTGTAGAAGAAGGAAGACGTGGGAGACATCCTGCCCTTCAGGAGGTTGCCCACCCACCTGGAAGGTAAACAAGATGGGGATGGGCAGTGCAGGGCAGAGAAAGGGTCCCAAACCACTCACCTCAAGAAGCAGAGTTCAGGGCCACCCATGGTGCTATGGAGAGTGGAACGTGAGAGCTGGCATGCCCAACTCAAAGGGGCAGGTGTTAACACCAGTCTGCCCATTGTCGCCCTTGTTCTAGGCAGCATGGCCTCTGGGAATGCCCCCCACACCACCCATCCCTGTGCCACCCTCATCACCACCTCTCTCCTTACTTGTGGAGGGTCTCCTGAAGGGAGAGAGGTACCAAGGACGTGGGAGAGGAGCATGGGGGTGCAGTGTGTGTCCTCTTACATACACATGCACACCACCTGCTCACGTGTGCCCAGAAACCAGAGTCCCGGGTGGAGGCAGCCTGGTTTTTCATTCTGCTCAGCCCTCGTTCCTCATTTGATGAGTCTCAGAAGTGGCTCAGTCCTCTCTGCCTCTGATTCTGGGCTCACTGGATAAGGGCAAGGGCAGAAGGGAAACTCTGGTCAGGGAAGAGAAGTTTCAGGTCCTGGGCCTGGAGAGGGGCTGGCAGGTTGACGAGGGGAGGCACAGGTTCCACTGGCCAGCTGTCCTCTGACTAGGGAGGCAGAGACTGGCCTGGGGAGGTGGCCTCTCCTCTGTGGTTCCCACAGCTCTGGGCAGCATGGGGCTGGCAAACGTTAGGTGCTTACTAATGGCTGAAAGAATGCATGGTTCGGAGGGGAGGAGCCAGTCTAGGAAGGTGATGGCTTAACATGCATAGGATCTAACTGGTAGCCGCTGTTCTGGTGATGCAGGAGGTACACGGAGGAGGCTATGAGACTGCTCTCAAGACGTCCGTGTAGGGGAAGCTTACACCTGAGGAGAACAGGGAGAAAGAAAGCTCGGAGGGAGGACTGGGTGTGGAACCCTCCGTCCGCTCACAGGTCTGCCTTGTTCTTGGGCCAGGTTTCCTGGAAGGTAGTTCAGTGAGGTAGGAGGGGTGGAGGGCAGGGTGGGGCGGGGAGCCAGCTACCCAGGGATGTGGACTCAGCTGGAGGCTGGCTTCAGCCCGACCCTCGACCCTGGACCCTCAACCCTCAGGAGCTCAGGAGCAGGGGAGCCGGTGTGCTGCACCTAACGCAAGGGACCAGCTTTTGACTGTGCCAGTCACTCACTGGCTGTGGGCCGTTTGCTGAGGGGAGGGGTGGGCCTTGCCTGGGGTGAGATGAGGTTTCCAGAGGGGCAGCTCTGTGCCTCCGTGCTGTGCCGGCCTTGTGACAGCTGGGGAAAGGATGCCCTACCTGGTAAAGGGCATCTGCATGGGATCCCCCCCCCCCCAAACACAGCCCAGATGCAGGGACCCTGTGACAAGAAAGCTGGTGGTTGGAAAGGGAATTGGCTTGAGCACCTGGTGGGACTGGAGAGACTCCAGTCCCCAGGGCTGGGAGGAAGGGAAAGTCCTAATGCCTTGGCTGGGCCCCAGCACCCCCAGGCCCCTCTGCCAAAGGAGCGGTTAGCAGCACATGTGCTGATGCTCCCCCTCTGGCTTTCTCCCTGCAGACCCCTTTGCCATGAACCAACCTGCTCCCGGAGCCCCGCCGCCCCGCCGCGTGAGGCTGAAGCCCTGGCTGGTGGCCCAGGTGAACAGCTGCCAGTACCCAGGGCTTCAGTGGGTCAATGGTGAAAGGAAATTCTTCTCCATCCCTTGGCGCCACGCCACTAGGCACGGCCCCAGCCAGGACGGAGATAACACCATCTTCAAGGTAAGCCCTGGACGGGGGCCCCTGGGCTTCTGAGACCCCCTCCTCTAGGAGAGAACCCCCCCTCCTCTAGGAGAGAACCCCCCCTCCTCTAGGAGAGAACCCCCTCTCCTCTAGGAGAGAACCCCCCCCTCCAGGAGAGAACCCCCCCTCCTCCAGGAGAGAACCCCCCTCCTCCAGGAGAGAACCCCCCTCCTCTAGGAGAGAACCCCCACTCCTCTAGGAGAGAACCCCCCTCTAGGAGAGAACCCCCCTCCTCTAGGAGAGAACCCCCCCTCCTCTAGGAGAGAACTCCTTCTCCTCTAGGAGAGAACCCCCACTCCTCTAGGGGAGAACCCACTCCTCTAGGGGAGAACCCCCCCTCCTCTAGGAGAGAACCCCCTCCTCTAGGAGAGAACCCCCACTCCTCTAGGGGAGAACCCCCCTCCTCTAGGAGAGAACCCCCACTCCTCTAGGGGAGAACCCCCACTGCTCTAGGAGAGAACCCCCACTGCTCTAGGGGAGAACCCCCCTCCTCTAGGGGAGAACCCCACTGCTCTAGGGGAGAACCCCCCTCCTCTAGGAGAGAACCCCCACTCCTCTAGGAGAGAACCCCACTCCTCTAGGAGAGAACCCCCCTCCTCTAGGAGAGAACCCCCACTCCTCTAGGAGAGAACCCCCCTCCTCTAGGAGAGAACCCCTCCTCTAGGAGAGAACCCCACTCCTCTAGGAGAGAACCCCCACTCCTCTAGGAGGGAACCCCCACTCCTCTAGGAGAGAACCCCCCTCCTCTAGGAGAGAACCCCCACTGCTCTAGGAGAGAACCCCCCCTCCTCTAGGAGAGAACCCCCCTCCTCTAGGGGAGAACCCCCCTCCTCTAGGAGAGAACCCCCACTGCTCTAGGAGAGAACCCCCTCTCCTCTAGAAGAGAACCCCCACTCCATCTCAAACTGGCCACTCACCCAGCTGCCTTGCTTTAGGGGACCCTAGGCCTGGAACCAGGGGACACAGACATAACCACAGGGTATACCTTTTCTAACCTGATCTCCAGAGCAAGGTGGGGACCGGCAGGCCCCCAGAAAACCTTCCTGTAACTTCTTCTCCCCTTTGTTCTTGTCTCGTTCTCGTTATACACGAGACACGTGCCGTGTGCTTGTTTGATGTACATATATCCTAAGACAGCAGACAGCAGTGTGATCATAACACCAAGAGGAGAGACTGTGACTTTTTTGCTTATAGTTTCAGTTTTCTGCACTAGTGCATATATGAAATGCAAGTGTAGAGTCAAACTATGTATTCTGCTTTGTAACCCGCATTTTTCGCTCAACATCAGGAGCAGCTTTTCTCTCCGGCATATGTCTCGTCACTTTCATCAACCCCTGAAGGTTCCATTAGAGGGGTTTAGCACACTTTAGTCACCCAGTCCCTAGTCACCCAGTTTTGGACACTTCAGGTTGCTTTTAGGGTTTCAGTCTTAAAGACTACATCCTTTAAACTCTTTGGGGTTAGTTCCTAGAGTTAAAAATTGCTGGGTCCAAGAGAATGCTTATTTAGAAAGCTTCAGCTATATATTTCTTAGTCTTTGCACTTGATATTTATCTTTTCAAGGTTGTTTTTAAAAAACTCAGGTCCAATCCCAGACCAAGTGTATCAGCAACTCTGGGTGGAAAGCCTGGAAACCTTATTTTAAAGATTTTGTTTTAATTGATTTTTAGAGAGAGAGGAAGGCAGAGGGGGGGGAGAGAGAGAAACATTGATGTGAGAGTGAAACATTGTGATCGGCGGCCTCCTGCATGCCCACTGCCAGGGATCGAACCCCAAACTCGAGCATGTGCCCTGACAAGGAATGGAACCCGAGACCTTTCAACGCACTGCATGCAGTCTAACCAACTGAGCCACACCGGCCAGGGCCTTTTCAAGGTTCTTTTCAAACCATTTTATATTTTTGAATAGTATAAAATGGTTTACAGCAAAAAGTCTCTCCCCCCATCCCCAGCCACTTCCCTAGAGGCAATTAGTATTATCAGTTTCTTGTTAATCTTTCCTGAGAGATTTTTGTGTATATATAAAAAATATGGCCCTGGCCGGTTTGGCTCAGCGGTTAGAGCGTCGGCCTGCGGTCCTGAGAGACCTGGGTTCGGTTCCCGCTAAGGGCGCGTACCTTGGTTGCAGTTTGTCCCCGGCCCTGGTCGGTTGTGCGGGTGGCAGCCACTCGATGTGTTCCTTTCACATCGATGTTTCTCTCTCTCTCTCTCTCTGTTCCTCTCTCTCCCTTCCACTCTACCTGAACAAAAAATGGAAAAATGTCCTCGGGTGAGGATAAAAAAATAAATAAATAAATGTACTTATTCTTTCCCTGACTTCTTACAAAATGATATACTCTCCTGCACCTTATATTTCTTGAAGATCACAACACGTCAGTATATCAAAAGCTTCCTCCTTTTCCCCCCCTTGCTGCCCAGTATTCCATAGTTAATTTAAGCAGATCCCATTGATGGACATTTAGATTATTTTGGATCTTTCGCTTTTACAGACAGTGCGGCAGTGAATAACTTTGAATGTGCAGAATTTTGTGTGGATGCTTCTATATCTATAGGATAAATTCCCAGTGTTCGAATGGCTGGGTTAAAGGGTAGAAAAATTTATAATCCTGCCCTGGCTGGTTTTGCTCAGTGGTTAGAGCATTGGCCTGTGGACCAGAGTCCCAGGTTCAATTCCAGCCAAGGGAATGTACCTTGGTTGCGGTTTGTCCCCGGCCCTGGTTGGGGTCCTGCAGGTAGCAGCCATTCGATGTATTTCTCTCACACTGATGTTTGTCTCTCTCTCTCTCTTCCTCCTTTTCTCCCTCCCACTCTTTCTGAAGGTAAATGTAAAAATATCCTCTGGTGAGGATAAAAAAAAGAAAAAATATTTATAATCCTGATATTAACCAAATTGCTCTCCAAAATAATGATATCAACAATTAAAGTGTACAGAGCCGCCCAGCAGGTGTGGCTCAGTGGTTGAGCATTGACCCATGCACCAAGAGGTTGATGGTTCGATTCCTGGTCAGAGCACATGCCCAGGTTGTGGGCCAAATCTTCAGTGAGGGGCACGCAGGAGGCAGCCAATCGATGTTCTCTCTCATCGATGTTTCTATCTCTCTCCCTCTCTCTTCCTCTCTATCTCAAATCAATAAAGAAAAAAAAAAGTGTACAGAGAGTATCCTTTGCACATACAGTGTTAGTTCGGAGAGTTTTATGGGCCCTCGAGTCTTCATGGCCACCCTGTGAGGTGGGTACATGATGGGCAGGCCGGAGCAAAGGAGGACAAAGCAACATGCCCCTGGCATACAACGGGTAGGTGGCAGTTTCTGAATTCAAACCCAGTCCCACCCCAGAGCCCATGCTCTTACCCATCATGCCAGGCGGTCCTCCTTAGAAATTGTACCTGTTTCCCCTTCAGGGGCAGTGACTGCGATGCCTTGCAGAGTGCCTCGATTTCCTTTAGCTTGTTAGAGCCCTGGTGTCCTATCTCCCACCTTGCAGAGGGGCACTCCGTGTGTCACTGATGGTCTCCTGGTCTCCGCGCACAGCCACAACTCCCACCAGCCAGGAGGAGCTAGGCTCGGGGGAAGGGAGGTTCTCCATGATCTCCTGTCTTCTCTTCCTGCCCCAGGCCTGGGCCAAGGAGACGGGGAAGTACACGGAGGGGGTGGACGAGGCCGATCCGGCCAAGTGGAAGGCCAACCTGCGCTGTGCCCTTAACAAGAGCCGTGACTTCCGCCTCATCTATGACGGGCCCCGGGACATGCCGCCTCAGCCCTACAAGATCTACGAGGTCTGCTCCAACGGCCCTGCTCCTGCAGGTATTATGCCTGGCCCCGTGCGGGCCGCCCGGGCCGCTGTGCATGAAGGCCCAGGGCCTTCTGCGGTGCAGTGGTCAGGCATGCGCTGCTGGGCCATCACACCCGGGACTTTCCGCAGTCACCTGGGACGGGCCGTTTGTGGGTCCAGGAATAGCTTGGCATGGATCAGGGCCCCAGTCTGTCTTCCTCAGCCAGCCCTTGTTCTTGGCTCTTGGTGGCCCAGGGAGCTGAGCGCCACGGGTCAGGGAGGGCCCTGCTGGTTCCTGATGGCTGTGCGGCCCCTCAGGGTTTGGGCAGCTGATCAGGGAAGAAGCCACAGCAGGTGCTGCCACGTGGGGCCTGGTGACCTTCCTCCTCCTCTCCCACAGACTCCTTTCCCGTCTGTCTTTTCTCTCCCTCCATCTGCAGAGTTCCAGCCCAGTGAGGATTACACTTGTGGGGCCGGAGAGGAGGAGGAGGAGGAAGAGGAAGAGGTGAGCAGGCCATTCCCTGGTGTCTGCCAGCCCGCCTGGCGGGCCTCTGGTCCTCTGCGCCAGGACTCCGCAGCCCCATCCCCCTGGAGCTGGTTGCCCTTCTGCAGCTCTGCGCCGAGCTTCTCTCGGATTCTGAGCATAGACACAAAGTTATCACCTCAGACCCCCTGGGGCTTTGTTGATACAAAATGTGCTCACTGGTTTTCGGACTGACCCCCAGCATCTGGGGCCCAGGAGGTACTACACTGGTTCGGAAGGCAGATGCGGAGACTGGGGCACTGAGGACCCGCCGGCCCGCCTGGGCCAGCAGACTGAGCCTGGAGGCAGGGTCTGGATCCAGCTAAACAGAAGCCTGGGGAATTGCCTTGTGGTTCTCATGTGTTATTTATTTAGCATCAGATCAATTTAATAACCTGTTCTCCCTTCTCTCTCTGGCCTCTTCCCTCCTCCTTTGCCTGTATCTTCACTTCAGCTCCAGAGGATGCTACCAAGCCTGAGCCTCACAGGTGGGGCTGGGAGGGGGTGGTTGGGCCTAGTATGAGGAGAAGCTACAGGTCCCTGGGAGGGGGCTGAAGGGAGCCTGGGGTGGGAGGCCAGGCCTGGGAGTAGGTAGGCCTGGGAGGCAGCTCCTAGAAGTGCCACTAGAGCTCTGTCTCCCGCTCTCTGTAGAAGCAGTGCAGCCTGGCGCCCCCATGGCACCCTATTCTTTACCCAAAGACGATGTTAAGTGGCCACCCACGCTCCAGCCGCCTATAGTGCTGGGCCCTCCTGCTCCAGACCCCAGAGTCCTGGGCCCTGCCCCTGATGACCCTGCTGCCTTTAGGCAGCTTCTCCCGGAGGTACTGCCAAGCCTGCAGCCTGACTCTCTAGCTGCCAGCCTGCCACCCACTGGCGAACAGCTCCTGCCTGACCTGCTGATCAGCCCCCACATGCTGCCTCGTAAGGACCCAGGGACTGGTGGGCTGGGCCGGGCAGAGCGGTGCTGGGGGTTGGAGGATGGCGAAAATAGAACAAAGATGCCCCGCCGGTCCCTCTTTGGGGGCGGGGGGTCAGTATGTGGGAGAGATGACAAAATGACTAGCTGCTGAGCAGGGAAAGCCAGTGAGCGGCTGCAGAAGCGAGAGGGGCCGAGCTCACAGACCGGATGGTCCTGTCCCTCTGCCCCACAGTTACCGACCTGGAGATCAAGTTCCAGTACCGGGGACGGCCACCCCGCGCCCTTACCATCAGCAACCCACATGGCTGCCGGCTCTTCTACAGCCAGCTGGAGGCCACCCAGGAGCAGGTGGAGCTCTTCGGCCCTGTGAGCCTGGAGCAGGTGCGCTTCCCCAGCCCCGAGGACATCCCCAGCGACAAGCAGCGTTTCTACACGAACCAGCTGCTGGATGTCCTGGACCGCGGGCTCATCCTCCAGCTCCAAGGCCAGGATCTGTACGCCATCCGCCTGTGCCAATGCAAGGTGTTCTGGAGCGGGCCCTGCGCCTCGGCGCACAGCTCGCAGCCCAACCCCATCCAGCGGGAGGTCAAGACCAAGCTCTTCAGCCTGGAGCACTTTCTCAACGGTGAGGGCCCCACATCCTCCTGGCCTCCTCTCCTCCAAGGCACAGTTCTAGCCTCTGACTAAGGCTCTTGTTCTCGGCAGAGCTCATCCTGTTCCAGAAGGGGCAGACCAACACCCCACCACCATTCGAAATCTTCTTCTGCTTTGGGGAGGAGTGGCCTGACCGCAAACCCCGAGAGAAGAAGCTCATCACTGTACAGGTACCTCTACCTCCCAACCCCCAACTCTGCTTTGGCTTGAATATTGTGGAATCCTGAGACAAGCCCCTGTCCCACAGTGGAGGCTCAGGGCTCTCTGGGCAGTGTGAACTTGGCAACAGAGGTACTCAAGGCCCAGGGCTGTACAAAGTGGAGATTGGCGCCCCTCCTTCCCGGTGGCTGCAGTCCACCGCCCGCCCCCTGGTGGATGTCCTCATGCACAACTAGATTTGACAGCCCTGTTGGGTTCTCCCTGTTCTCTCTGCTCCCCAGGTGGTGCCCGTAGCAGCTCGGTTGTTGCTGGAGATGTTCTCAGGGGAGCTCTCCTGGTCAGCTGATAGTATCCGGCTACAGATCTCAAACCCAGACCTCAAAGACTGCATGGTGGAGCAGTTCAAGGAGCTCCATCACATCTGGCAGTCCCAGCAGCAGCTGCAGCCTGTGGCCCAGGCCCCTCCTGCTGGCGAGGGGCCCTGGCCAATGCACCCGGTTGGCATGCAGTAAGGCTGCACACAGAGACTGAAACAGGATTCCTGGAAGCTAAGTGGACTGACACGGAGGTGTGGCAGCCCCACTGGGCACCTGCCTGGCGGCAGGGTCTTACCTCTGGGTCTCCTGGATGTAGATTTGGGCCAAGAAGGAGAGGGAGAGAGGCCCGAGTTCCAGGTTCTCCCTGTAGAAGCTGAGGGAACCTGGAAGCCACTTTTGCTTTGGGAGCTCTGTCTTCCGGACATGTCTCTCCTCTGCTAGCTCTGGTCTGCTGGCTGTGGAGGAATTCAGCCAACAACACTGGTGAGCAGGGAAGGACCTCCCCCGACGCCAGGGGCCTAATTGTACAGGGGAAATTGCCCCAGAGTGCCCCCATTTCCTCTGATTGAAAGCCTAGTGCTCTGTGCCAGCTCCCCCTGGCAGGGCCTCAGCAGGGCATGGGCCTGATTTGGAGGTTCCCTAGTTTGAGCCTCACTTCTTCATCTTTCTCCTTCCCGAGACAGATATGAGCACTTAAGTATTATACCAGATACTTAAGGCTGGCAGCTACCTCCTTTCTTGAGAGTCCAAAAACCTGGGGTAAAAAGTGGAATCTTATGTATTTTTGAATTAATAAATGTTAAAAACACACTTGGCTATTTCTGCATTTTTTCCAGTACCACTTGCTTCCATGCTGTCCTAACAGCCTTTCTGCTGCCAGCTGGCAACTTTTCCCCTCAACACCGCCCTCCTCCTTTGGGGCCCTCGCGCAGGGAGCACCTGCCTTCCAGGTTGATGAGTCAGTGGGGCCTTCATAAACACTCGCCTGCTGGCTGCGTCCCAGGAGGAAGCTGGCCAAAGCAAGGGTGTGGGTTTTTACATCTAAAATCCTGTCCAAATCAATTTTCTCAAAAGAAATGGTGAAAAAGGGGCTGGTATTTCAACTACATGCAGGCCCATTACATCATCTTCATGTATATTCACATGCTACTAAATATATTAAAACAACGCATACAAATTGTAGCTCATTGTTCGAATCTGGCTCAGAGATGTAATTCTCTGGCCTAAACAATTTGTTGTTGTTGTTGTTGTTGCTGATCTTTTTGTTATGCAAGATTTTAAGCATTTGTTAAATTAGGGAGAATGGTATGAAATCCTTGTGAAGTAGCTTCAACAATGATCAATTCATAGTCTTTCTCCCCTAAACTCCCATCCATATCCCTCATCGAGATTATTTTGTGGCAAATCCTACACATAGCAGTTCATGTGTAAATAGAATATATCTCTAAAAGACAAGGACCTTCTAAAAAAACAAGAATATATGACAAAATTAATTTTTCTTTTTTATTCTCACCCGAGGACATTTTTCCATTTTTGTTCAAGTAGAGTGGGAGGGAGGGAGAGAAAGAGAGAAACATCGATGTGAAAGGGACACATCAAGTGGCTGCCACCCACACAACCCCAACCGGGGCCGGGGACAAACTGCAACCGAGGCACGTGCCCTTAGCGGGAACTGAACCCGGGTCTCATTGGACCACAGGCCGACGCTCTAACCGCTGGGCCAAACTGGCCAGGGCTATTCCCTTGCAATTTAATTGTGGAAGGAATGGCACTGTCTGCTCTGCATTTTGCTTTTGCCCAGATACTGCTGACTGCATTTCTGTTGCGTTGCAAAGGTATTTTGCCTCCTGTATTTCCTGTAAATTGGTACTTTGACCTAGACTCTGGCTGGATTCCAGGGGCTCAATTGGATGCAGGTTTTTGTTTTGACTTCCTTTTAGTGGGTATTCCAGTTGTTTCCATCTTTAGCTATTATATCTCATGCTACAGTTAATAGGCTTTTATAAATATATTTTCCTATATTTGCCAGTGTATCTTTGGACGAACCCCAAAAATGGAATTTCTGGGCCAAAGGATAAATGTGCGTAATTTTGCCAAATATTGGCAAAATCCTGAAAAATCTGTAAGTGTGCCTGTTCTCCCATAGTCTTGCCAACAGACTGTATTATCTTTTTGGATTTTTGCCATCCTGAGAAGTGAGAAACAGTATCTCATTGCCACTTCTCGTTAGGAGTGAGGCTGAGCATCTACATATGGTTACGTGGCCTGTGCAGATTTTTGTTCTTAATAAACAGTTTTAGACTTAGATTTGTGGAAAGGTTGCTTATAGAGTTCCTATACACCCCACAGTTTCCCCAATTGTTAATCTTACATTATAGTATATTTATCACAACTAATGAAGCAATATAAATACACTATTATTAACTAAACACCGTTCTTTATTCAGATTTAATTAGTTTTTATCTAATAGCCTTCTTTTGTTCCACAATCCCATCCAAGGTATCAGAGGTAAGTATCATCTTCACTGCATCATATGGAGGGTGCATACTATGACCATGACTTGTCACTTGATTTGACCTTGATCACCTGGTAGTGTTTATCAGGTTTGCCCAATATTACAGGGACTTCTCTGACCCCCTTTTCCATACTGCACACATGTACAGAGGTCTCAGAATTGTTAACCCAAACCCCTTTAAGAAACTTTACTTGCCCTGGCCGGTTTGGCTCAGTGATTGGAGCGTAGGCCTGCGAACCAGAGTCGCGGGTTCGATTCCGGTCAAGGGCATGTACTTGTTTCGGTTTGGTTGCTGGCCCTGGTCGGGGTCGTGCGGGAGGCACCCAATTGATGTCTCTCTCTCATGTGGATGTTTCTCTCTCTCTCTCTCCCTCCCACTCTATCTGAAGATAAATGGAAAAAATATCCTCAGGTGAGGATTTATTTTAAAAAAAGAAAAAGAAACTTGACCAACTAGAGTACAGAGCTTACACACAGTTCCTTTTGTCTTTCGTCTTCTTTTTCAGCCACCTCTCTCTGCACTGGCCTGTGCAGCTCTATTTCCTCTTTAGATTGAAATTAGTTGTCAACACTTGAAAATTAGATGTCACATATCTGATTTCCAGCTTCTCTCAGAAAGTTGACAAATTTAGAAACATTGTCTCACATTCCCCAAGGGCAAGGATCAGCTGGAACTTCAGATAGGAAAGCTCCCCAGTTCAATGGTCCCCTCCGAGCCTGCTTCCCTCCTGTCACTGCCTTGTCCTTGAAGGCCTTGGAGTTTGCCTCCCTTGATAAACAGTGAAGCAGGGAACTGGAAACAGATGAATGATGGAAGCTTAGAAGGAAGTTGCACTAGGCGATCATTTGTGGACGGACTTCAATACTTCAGGCAGCTCGTGGTTGCTGAAAATCTTCCTTGGGCTTCTACTTACTTTTTGGTTTCTTAAAAAATTAAAAAAAAAACACAAAAACCAGAAACAGCACACATGGCTGTCATTTTATATAGATCTGTTGTAGTAGCCAGTTGTGGATGAACACTACCCAAAAGAAGTGCCAGATATAACCCTTCCAGAGGTTCAAGGCAGGACAATGTGGTTTGGATTTTGCTGCTCCCCAGCTATGCTCGAGTTCCGCCTGGCAGTACCTTTGACTGTGCCAGAGGCCTCTGTTGGTGTTGAAGCCGGAATCCACAGAACACTGATGTTCATGGCCCAGGGGATGAACACATCCCTCTAGCACCCAGTAGTTTCCCTGACAAAGTTCATCTTTCTATCCAACTAAATATTCCCTTTTAATTCAAGACCCCTTTCCTCTAATACAGCTTTTCACTGACATAAAGATCTTTTCAGTATTCAGAGGAGGAGAGGATATTGATGCCTTTTCCAATTTTTGTCAGAGGCCTTTTTAAAATATGTCTTCATTTATTTTTTAGAGAGAAACATCGATTGACTGCCTCCTGCACACCCCCAACTGGGGCCAGGGATCAAACCTGCAACCTAGGTATGTGACCTTGACCGGGAATCGAACCCTCAACCCTTTGGTCCATTGGCCGACACTCTAACCACTAAGCCAAATCGGCCAGGGCTGTGGGGACTTTTTTACTTAAGTTCAAGTGTAAGACTCTTGTTCTTCCACTAGATAATGTTGCACAGGAACACAATATCTACATTAGGGAACCTGATTCCAAACAGTTCCTTTTTAAATTAAAATGTAGGTGGGTATCCTTGCCATGCCAGAAAGTGATGGCTATTTGTACGAACTCGTCTGATACAATCTGTAAGACAGTATGCAACGAGGCCTGACTTCATAATGAAAAGAGAGCTCTGGTTTTCAAAGCTATCCTGTGGAGATGTTCCTAGATTGAGACTATGCATTCCACATGCTATTTTTCAGTGGCTGGATGTTTTTTCAGTCCCAGAATCAACTTTCTGTCACAAAAGCCAAATTCCTTAAGCAAAATGTCAACTGGCGGTTGCAAGGACCTAGGGTTGGATCAGGCTTCAAAGTTTTAGTTTACCCAGTAAATGAGAGGAATGGCTGGGGTATTGTGGGAACCCTCAGAATTTGATGATCTCAGGCCAAACACTGTTTCACATTCAAGTTTCCTCCTCCCTTTCCAATAATGCCTCTTTAGAGGGTGAGTCCCGCTGATGTTATGCAGGCAAGTTTCACATACTAGATGCAGCTCTGCAGTCAAGGTCATTAGCTCAAAGCCCAATTGCTATAACGCACTGTATGACCCCATTTATAGAAAACTCAAGAAAATGCAAACTACAATGACAGAAAGCAGATCAGTGGCTCCTTGAACATGTGGGAGGATGGGGAGAAGCATGAGGAAACTTCTGGGAGTAAAAGATAGGTTCAACTACTGTGATTGTTAACAATTTCAAGAGTGTATCCTATGTCAAAGCGTATCAGCTGTATGTACACCTTAAATATATGCAGTTTCCTGTATGTCAGGTATACTTTACTATAGGTTATTTTTTTTTAAGACCAAATACTCAGCAGGTTAGGAAACAATCAATCTACTTGGGTGGCCATTGTGGAAAGAATATACCACATTTATGATTAACATGCTGATTGACCCATTTTCTTTTTCTTGTTAATCCTCACCCAAGGATATTTTTTCCACTGATTTTTAGAGTGGAAGGGAGGGAGGGAGAGGAAGTAGAGAGAAAGAGAGAGAGAGACAGACTGAGAGAAACATCAATGTGAGAGAGACACATAGACTGGTTGCCTCCCGTACTCAACCCAACCAGGCCAGGCATCGAACCTACAACCCAGGCACGTGCCCTTGACCAGGAATCAAACCCGAGACCTTCAGTGCCTGGGCCGACCCTCTTACCCGCTGAGCCACACCGGCCAGGGCAGACCCATCCTTTCCCACTGAAGCAGTATGAAGATAAAATGCAGCATTAAGGGTTTTAGGGTGAACTAGAATAGAAGATGCAGGCTGAGCCACTCCCCTGAAATACGAAGGGTTTGTGGCACTGAGGACAGGGGCCTGTCTTCTAAACCCCACACCCAGACTGTCAGATAACAACTAAGACTATTTACTTAAGTGGTCCAGCTGTACCATTTCAGAACTATCAGGCAGTGAAAAGAAGTGAAAACAAACATTAATTAAATTTTAAAAATTTATTTTTTCTCTTTTCTTTTTTTCTTCTGTTGTTGATTTGTTCTTGAGATGGCTACAACACCAGACAGAACAGTGCCCTCGGATGTAATGCCTGTGCAAGGCCGCAACTCCTTCCAAACATTAAGATCTGCTCTGGGCTTCCGCTCCCGCCTCTTCCCCATGAAGTCAAATAATTTCCACATTTTTTAGTAAAATACAGTTTAGCCTTGTAAACACTTTTTTTTTTCATATTCCCACCCTCTTTTGTTCTCTCATGTCTGTGGGTGAAACATTAACTAAAAAAAAATCTTAGAACTTAGAACATACATTTATATCCCCCTCATCTTGATGTTGGCTCTTCCTCAGGGCCAACGAGGAGCCAGTGTGGGTCGGAGTGGATCAGAGACTGAACAGCACAGAGTTGAGCTATACATGAATTTGGCCCTGGCAAGTCCTAGTATCACCGATGTGACCATGATATAAAACAAAAGGCTCCTTGCTTACTGCTCCCTGTCCAAACAACTCTAAAGGTGGTAAACAACGGTTAGGGAGGATGGGAAAAACTTCTACTCACTCTGTTAAAAGAGAAGGGGAAATGAGAAAGAAGGGGGGATGGGAGAGAGAAAGAGAGAACAAAACAGTAAAAAAATCCTGAAGAGATGATCCGGAACCTTTTCTTCCCATTGCAGCTATTTAATTCACTTGAATTCCCATTTTCCCTAAGTAACCGTTTATTGTTTCACAGAAAGTCTGCACTTTTATTTTTCTGTGTGTGCACACGCGTTAGCATGTGTGTAGGTACGCGATGTATGCGTGCGTGTCATTTGCTACCAGGCGGATGTTTCAGTTCTGGTTTCAGTTTTGTTTTCCTTTTTTATTTCCTTAAAAATTATTTTTCCTTTTAGAAACAAGTTCACCAGGAAACCAGCTCCCCTCCCACCACGCCGGACAGGCTGCAGCCATCTTTTTAAACACGGTGCTGATCTTCCCTCACATCCCCAAACAGGAGCTCCTCAGGACGGCCTCGGAAGGCTGGAGTCTCTCCCTGTCTGGTGGGACGCCCTGGTGGCGGTGAAGGCCCCTCTGCCACAGTGGAGGTTTCTGATTGTGGGACACAGTCTGGTTTTTGTTTTCTTCCCGTCTTCTAATTAAAAAAGACATTCCTACAAAAAAAAAAGAAGATAGTCAATACTTGTGGTCCAGGAGACAAGTAAGCATTTTATAAAGTCAAGGCAGAAATTCCTATACTTGCTCAGGCACCTTATTCTGGCCTGTCATAAGAACTCAATAAAAAAAAAGAAGTTGGATTTGTAACTTGTGATTTCAAGGAGCTACTGCTTTAATGATGTGCTGCCTTCAGCGCTTTTCCAACCCGGAGGGTGCTATGGAAACTGGGGACCACGTGTGCGGGGTAAAGTGAGCCAGTAGGTCCAGGATGCCCACTCCAAGCTAACCAGAAAATCTCCACTTTAGTCTGTTAAATACTGGGGTTTCATGTAAGATTTTATTTTAAAAGAAGGCTATGCCTACTACAATAAGCTTAAAAACCAATGATTTGGACTCCCTGTAAAAGTATTAAGTAGCGTGGTTACCAGTGAGGACTCTGGCACCAGAATGTCTATGTTTGAATTGTGGCTCTATCAATTACTGACTGTGGTTACATCAAGCAAATTGTTTAACATCTTGCAAACTCAAATGCCTCATTTGTAAAATAGGAATAATAATAGTAACTGACCCAGGGCACTGTGTGAGGATTATCTTAGTTAACAATATAAAGCACTTAGAACAGGACCTCATACTAGTAAGGGCTCAGTGAATGTTAGCTACCAGCATTCACAGCTCTCCACAAAATGTGTACCAGTGTTAGCTTTTACAGACACTGCAAACCTAAGTCTCCCAAATGATATCACTACTCCTTAAAGAACCAAAGCGTACAAGTGATTTCGGGTGTGGCGAGGCACTGTGGCCCGGCACCTTCACCCACTAGCGCATGTAATCACAGAACCCCCATGAGAGTGCTGTACACACATGGAGGACTGACTCCTGGCACAAGAAATTTTGTTTAAGACGCCGAAGTGTGGGCTTAGAGGAGAGCTGCCTTTCTTCTCTGTCAAGAAACTGGCACCCAAATCCCATTACCCAGTCCTTTCTTTCCCCAGCTCAGCTTCTTGATTTGCTTCTGAATCAGGAGACAGGAAGGAAATGGAGAAAACTGATGATTAGGAGCTAGACCTCCTGCCTCAATCAAAACCTAGCATTTCAGCGTTCAAAGCGTAAAAGTGGAAAGAATAAGGATCTGTGCTCATTAAATCTGAAAGGTCAGTTTTAGGAGAGTGGTACCATGTACCACAGTAAAGTTTTAGATCAGCACTATTTTCATCAAAGTAGCCAGGTTAAAAAAATATTTATTTCTTTGTTAACCATACACACTTACGATTCTAGAAGTGTGTGTAAGGGGAAGAGGGGAAGAAATTGTTTTTTGAGATAGTCTGTCACAGTAACTTTCCTATGGGGGTGAATGGCATCCGAAAGCAGCTGACAATTATCTGGCCCAAGGAAATCAGGGCCCTGCATTTCCCAGCTGTTCAGAAGTGTTAAATTGTTAGGTCTTTCCTTGACTCGAGATATCGTACTCGTCCCATGACTGGCATTAAAACCTATGTCCAGCCCTGGCTGGGTGTGGCTCAGTTGGTTGGAGTGTTATCCCATACCCTGAGGAGTCTCGGGTTCGATTCCTGGTCAGGGCACATACCCAGGTTTCAGGTTTGATCTCCAGTCTGGGTAAGTGCAGGAGGCGGCTGATCAATTGATGTTTGTCTCTCTCTCTCTCTCCCCCTTTCCGGTCTCTCTAAAATCAATAAAAACATCCTTGGGTGAGGATTAAAATAAACAACAACCAAAAAAACACCTATGTCCACCCCAAGCACTTGTGACAGGCAGAGGAAACCGGGGAGCTAGATACCACTCACCTGGGTGACAGGCACAGTGCAGGAGTGGGAGCTATCGAAACAACCTGGTGAAGTCTCTCAAGGCCCAGCAAACTTGTTTACATTCCTCAGCACTAGAACAGAAAAAGTAGGTTGGTCCCTAACTGATGACAAAGATTTAATACTCTGAAAAACAACTGCAACAGTAACTCTGTTTCAAATCTTTTTGTAACTCAAGGTTAAATATTAATTATTATATATGAGAATATATATGAGAATATATATATATATATGAGAATAATTATAAACTGTGTGGTCCTTCAAGAATGGGCTTTGGAGAAAAATCGCCTAGGTTTGAATCTTGGCTTCACCGTGACCTTGGGCAAGTTACCAATCTGCCTTAGTTTCTTCATCTATTATCTGCCTCATAATGTTTTGAGAATTAAATCAGTTCATAAATGTTAAGTGGTTAGGATAACAGAGCAGTGAACAAAATAGTATTCAACTGTAGGCTGCTACAAGACCACTCGGTTAAAGTCTTTCACATAAATACAAGAAAGCCAGAAACCCCAAAGTAGAAAAAGCAAGCCTATTCACCTACAGCTAATCATTTTAATTCTACGAGCTGAGCTAACTTAAGTACCCTGGCTTCCCCATTCTCTTCCAAAGGCAGATTTTGTTTACAAAGCCCAGTCCAGCAACTAAGATTCTATCAGTCATCGATTTTCTAGTTGAACAGGCTACTCAGGGTTTCCTCCTATGGGAGGAGGAGGCAGGTCCTTAGGCAAGCACTGAGATGCCGAGGTAATATGAATAGCCCAGTTGCATCTGACCCTGGATTTTCAAAAGGCCTCCGTTGTCCAAACAGTGGAAAAGGAAGCACTTCCTAATATGCTCACCCTTCTGTGGCCCTCTCTTTGGTTTGGAAGGATTCCAAATGTGAGAAGAATTCAATGTGAGAAGAAAGCTCCCTCTCCTTGTCGTAATGGTCAAACACCAGGAAGGAAACTGCTAACGGTGATCCAAAAAAAAAGGAAAAATGAGAGCAATCCCTTTAAGTGCCCACATCTGGATTTCCTCACCTATTATAAGGTCTGAAACATCATTGAGAATCTTGATTTAGACTCCAGGATTTGACCCAACAGAACATCCTAGAAACTTGTAGTATCTCTCCACCTTAAAAATGTACTGAAAATGAGGAAGGTCTTATTTTATCAGAATTCTGCCATTTGCTCTTTGTGAATGTAACACGCTTCAATAAGTGCATACATTTCTCAGTCTATTTCCAAATCAATACTGACTGTTAAGGAGGCAGCCAGGGAGTGAGTACTCATATCGCCCACATTCCCAATGGCATGAAGGAGAAAGATACACAACCCAAAAGAACCCGCTGTGTGCTGTGCTGTAAGGGATTAAGACAATAAGAAATAGTTAAACTTGCTGGAGACTCAAGATTCTTTTGCTATCCTGATGCCTTACAAGTTTTCACTTCTATCCTTTAACCAAAAATCTAGGTTTAATCTGGAAAAGAAAAAAACCCTCCATCCTTCACCTCTTTTGTGACACATGAGAAAAAGTACCAAAAATACAAGTACAGGAGAACTATGTTGAGTCAGGGTAAAATGAGGGACAAGTCACAGTGTCTCAAATCAGCTCATTTTCTTCTCCCAATCCTGTCAGCAACTGCTTTGGTGTTAAGAGCATCAGCCAAATGTTTAACTTAAGTGTCCTTGATGATTAAGCCCAAAGAAATGGATTTTTAAATACCCCCTAAAAGCAAAAACTATTTTCTGCTTTCTGCCTTACTCCCCTATCATTCATCCATCCGTCCGTCCATCCATCCATCCATCCATCTATTTAAAGCTGCCACTATTTTTCTAGGTTCTGTTTCCTGGCTGCCAGTCCCACAACCCCAATCTGTCCACCATATTTTGATAAGTACCATTTGAAAAACAGGCTTGGACTTGCTGAAATGAAACTGAACCAGTTCACCCTCCCTGCTAGGATGGCAAACAAAAGCAGCATGTTGAGGCAGGAATTACAGGACCTTAAAACCAAAATGGAGACTGAGTCATACATGGAATAGAAGGTTCATGGGCAACAAACATACTAAAGAAAGAGCATTATGAAGAGGAGGTGAGCAATCTCAAACCCTTTCTCTAGTACCTCAACTTCTGTTCACTACCCACCATTATGTCACAGCTTACTGTAAGAGGAGCCACAAAACTTGTTTAGCAATAAGAGTTCAAGTAGGCCAGGCTGGTAGTGCACCTTATTTTCCCCTATCACAAGGCAGAGATCACAGATATTTTTGTTCACAGCATTGCATTATTTGGGTTCTTCTTTTGTCTCAAGATTAAAAAAAAAATTTTTTTTCCTTTATTGATTTTTAGAGAGAGAAGAAAAGAGGGCAAGAAAGATAGAAACATCGATAAGAGAGAACATCAATTGGCCGCCTCCTGCACGCCCCCCATTGGGGATCGGGCCCACAACCTGGGCATGTGTCCTGACCTGGAATCGAACCGACGACCTCTCGGTGCATGGGTCACCACTCAACCACTAAGCCACACTGGCCAGGCTTGCCTCATGATTTTAATTAAATTAGGGTATGTCCTTAGTTTTCAGACTTACTCTGTTTTTCTACCTGTTACATGTTAGCCCAGATGAGGGAACACAGGCCTGGTGGAGACTTACTCCAGAACGTGTGGGTGGCTGCCTCAGAGCTGGCAGGAAACATGCTCCAGCTAGTTCTGTAAGTACATAATGACATTCTGGCAGATTCTTTTCCAAGGAGAAAGTTAACATTCACTGATCACCTACTATGCGCCAGATCTCTAGATTTCCACTTGGTATCTCGTAATAACCCTATGAAATAGGTATTACTAACCCTATTTTACAGATGAATAAGCTGGAGTTTAAAAGTAACAGTCAATGAATGCAAGATTCAAACCAACATCCTTGACTCTAAGCCCAGTCCTTTGTGGGTTCTCTCCAGGCTCCTAATAGGTCTAAGAAAATCAGAGTCAATACGACCTTATTTTTCTACTGATCAGCACTAGATGGAACAGAACAAAACAAAAGCAGAGAGAAGCAACTGTTACACTTTCCCCCCTGAGAATATTACTTCTACTGAGAAGATGCATAGTAAAAAAGTAAATAATTTTGTTAAGGTCATCACAGCCAATGTATGCCGCCTTAGTAGAGGGGAAGTCCCCCTTTCAGGCACAATATGTCACAAAGGCAGGCAGTCACATGCTATTTTCCAGTCATGCATGTCACTTGATCTATGGCCAAAAGTCAGTTACTTTTGGGGCATGAAGTTAAGCCACTTAGTAAACGGCAAATAACACTCAAAGGTTTGGAATTTTAACCTTAACAAAATTATTGGAGATACTCCAGTCAAGCCTTGGTCGGTTTGGCTCAGCGGTTAAAGCATCAGCTCACAGACCAAAGAGTTGCAGGTTTGATTCCAGTCAAGGGCATGTACCTTGGTTACAGTTTAGTCCCCAGCCATGGTCAGGGTCATGCAGGAGGCAACCAGTTGATATGTCTCTCTCACATCGATGTTTCTCTCTCTCTCTCTCTCTCTCTCTCTCTCTCTCTCCTCCCTCCCTCCCTCCCTCCCTCCCTCCCACTCTATCTGAAGATAAATGGAAAAAAATATCCTCGGGGAGGATTAAAAAAATACTTCCAGTCAAGATGACGGTTGTAGGTAAATGTGGTACTCGAATCCTACCACAACCACACCAAAATTACAACTAAACTACAGAACAACCATCACTCAGATCTGCCTAAATCTAGCTGAATGGAAGTTCTATAACTAGGGATTTAAAGAAGAATCCACATTGAGACTGGTAAGAGGAGTGAGACACAGAATAGGTGGTCCCAACATGTGGTTGTTTAAAACTGGGAGGGATATCTCGGCTGCAGAGGTCCTACCCAAGGAGCGAGGGGTCCTAGGCTCCATACCAGGCCTCCCAGCCCAGGGTTCCAGAGCCAAGAAGAGAAGTGCTCATAACTTCTGGCTGTAAAAACCAGTGAGAATTGTGGTTGAGGGAGACAGGGCCAGGCAGTTCTTCTTAAAGGGCCCGTACATGGACTTAACTCTGACTCACCCCTTCCCACCCCTTCCCACCCCCCAGTTCTAGAACAGCTTGAAAGGAACCAGGGACATACACGGAGGTACTGAACTGTCTGGCACCAGGGTGAAAACTGGTGGTGGGGGGGGGGGGGAGGGCAGCTTTCTGCCAGACAAAAGTGCTGGCAGAGGCCACTGGTCCTTTTCTGAGTCCTTCCCCGACAGAGCCAACAGGCAGGTGCCACATCAGAGTCTCCATCAATTCAGCTCACATTGTTCACTCTGCCCTGGTGATTCCCTGAGACCTGGTACCTATCAACCTGTGGGCCTACCCAAGCCATTTCTAGGGGCTTTTCCATACAAATAGCCTCTCTTGCATCATGCTTCGGATTGTCTTAAAATATCTCAAACAAGTAGTGTACCCATATCTCTTGCTAAGTGGCCCCAGGTCAGCACTAGAGGCAGCTGGCCTTGGTCTGCAGATTGGCCTCTCCTGAGCAGCTCCAAGCCCAGCACAAGTAGCAGCCATCTGCAGATCACTCTGTGGCTTGTGCTGGGTGGCCCTAGACAGGGCAAAGGCAGTGGCTGACCTTGCACCCCCCAAGAGGCCCCAGAGCCAGTGCACCATGTGGACAGCTTCAGACCATGCTGGATTACAACCCTACACCCTCCATCAGCGGCACACTCAAGGGGTGGACTCGGTGAGCACCACCAAAGCCCCAATGAAGCAAGTCCTGCTCCACAGGGTCCACTCATGCAAGCTGCTCCTCTGCTGTAGTTGCAGCTAGTCCTCACAGCTAATTGGCCTGGGGGTCAATTCCTCCCAGTGATGCAAATGGCAATCAAAGTTCAACTACAACAGGACAGTGCACACAGCTTACACAGGGGCACATCTGCAGTGCCCAGCTCAGGTGACTGAGAAGGCTGTGCCACTGGGCCCTATAGGACACCTACTATACAAGGCCACTATACCAAGTACGGGAGACATAGCAGCTCTATCTAATACGTAGAAACAAACAGGAATACAGTCAAAATGTGGACCCAAAACAACAGGTCCTAAAAAAAAAAAAATATCTGGCTGCAACTACTAGATACAGAGTTTAAACACTGGTTATAAGGATGCTCAAGGAATTTACTGATAATTTCAACAGCATGAAAAAAGACACAGCTATCATAAAAAATAACCAGTCAGAAATAAAGAATATGCTAACTGAAATGAAGAATAATTTACAGGGAATCAACAGCACAGTAGATGAAACTGAGAATCAAATCAGCAATTTGGTATATAAGGAAGCAAAAAACATCCAATCAGAACAGCAAAAAGAAATCCCAAAATATAGATACTGTAAGGAGCCTCTGAGAGAACTTCAAGCATGCCAACATTTGCATCATGGGGGTGCCAGAAAGAGAAAACAGAAAGCAAGAAATTGAAAACTTATTTGAAAAAATAATGACAGAAAAATTTCCTAACCTGGTGAAGGAAATAGACATATAAGTCCAGGAAGAGCAGAGTCCCAAACAAGATGAACCCAAAGAGGTCCACACCAAGACACATCATAATTAAAATGCAAAAGGTTAAAGACAAAGACAGAATCTTAAAAGCAGCAAGAGAAAAGCAGTTTGTTACCTACAAGGGAGCATCCATAAGACTGTCAGCTAATTTCTCAACAGAAACTTTGCAGGCTAGAAGGCAGTGGTACAAAATATTCAAAGTGATGAAAAGCAAGGAACTACAACCCAGATTATTCTACCCAGCAAAGCTATCATTTAGAATCGAAGGACATATAAAGAGCTTCCTAGACAAAAAAAAGCTAAAGGAGTTCATCACCACCAAACCAGAACTGCATGAAATGTTAAAGGGTGAATAGAAGAAGAAGAGATAATATGAACAATAAAATGGCAATAAATACAAATCTATCAACAATTGAATCTAAAAATAAAAATAAACAAATAAGCAAAACAGAAAGAGACTCATAGATACAGAGAACATTTTGACAGTTGCCAGACGGAGACGGGGGGTAGGGGGACTTGGGCGGATGGGTGAAAAGGGTGAAGGGATTAAGAAGTACAAACTGGTTGTCACAGAATTAGTCATGGGGATGTAAAGTACAGCATGGGGAATAGAGTCAATAATATTCTAATAACTATGTCTAGTATCAGATGGGTATGAGACTTCCTGGGATGATCACTTATTAAGTTAGATAATGTCTAACTGGGATGTACACCTGAAACTAATATAATATGTATGTTAACTGTAATAGAAAAATAAAAATGATTTAAAAAAAATAAAAATAAAAAGAGCATAAGCCAGGCCAGTGTGGCTCAGTGGTTGAGCATCGACCCATGCACCAAGAGGTCCCGGTTCAATTCCTGGTAAGGGCACATATCCAGGTTGTGGGCCCAATCCCCAGAGGGGGCATGTAGGAGGCAGCCAATCAATGTTCTCTCTCTCTCATTGATGTTTCTCTCTCTCCCTTCCCCTCTCTCTAAAATCAATAAAATAAATAAAAAGTAAACAAAACAGTGCCTACTTATTAGTATAGACATACTGTTAATGATATAACCATTCTCTATTGACGGGCAATTGGAGTATTTCCAGTTTTTCCCCCACTGTTATCCACCTTGTTTCAATACCCATTCTTGGACATATAAATTGTTCCGCAACTATATGAATAGTCAAAATTCTAAAGACTCTAGACATAATATCAAGGCAAGGTAACACACAGTTATAAAATTCAATTTAAATCACTGTCGTTAATATTATCAGGACCATAAAAGTCTCATAACCTTTGATTCAGGGATTTTAATCAAAATAGTCAAAAGAAAGAAAAGGCTAGACTTTCCATATTATCTATAACACTGAAAACAGCAACAACAAAAAACCCAAAATCAAATGTCTACTAGCAGAGGAACTGTTAGGAAATCAAGAAATACCTATATAGCTATGAAACAGTAATTAGAAAGACTACGTAGCTATATAAAATGTTTATTATGTTCACAGTAAAAAAATAAAAACCACTTATACACACTAACATTTTAACTGAGCTGTAAGCAAGTGGCTCATGGGCCTAATGCATCCCAGAGAGATGTTTTATTTGGTCTGCATGAAATTAAAATTTGAGCATCTTTAGGCATGGTGGAAAATTTGCAGTTTACTGTAGTCTACACATCACTCTATGTTTTACAACCAATGCTTCACCTATTCAGACACTTGTATTCTTGACCTCTGAATACGAATGAGAATTGAGAAGGACTTCAAAAAGAAAAAATAAATCTCCTGTAGGGTAGTATGCTGTTCAGTGCATTTTTCTTTGGAAGAAATAATGTTTCCACTTACTCATTAAGATCTTATAACAGTTAATATATACATACAATAAAACTGATACATACATATAATGCATGGTGATATTTTCCCCAAGACTGTTTTCAATGCCAATCTGTGCAATTCAAGATACATGGACACTAAATTGTGAATATACAAAGGCACACAAGACACATACTCTGGGCAGATCTGTAACTAAGATGCTATAAGAAACAAAGACATATTTTATCTATACACCCTAGCTGCTGTTCATATTCCTTTAAAAAATAAACAAAAAACACCAAGCATCACTCACCTAGTGACTTGTTTGTGGAAATCTGTTAGTTGTTTGTGTGTCACTGTGACAGCTCCCACAGTTGTTTCCTTTGGCAAACCTTTCAAGGAATTCTCTAACCATCGACAAAAAGTCTGTACCAAAGAAAGGAATAAGAGTGTTTAAAGGAGGCAGGGACTCTATAGGTAGTAACAAAAACCTGCAGATTTTCTTTGGTAGCATTAGTACCCCCCGAACTTGGAAGCAAGTAAAAGAATGAAAGTACTACTCCACCACTCTAACATCTGGTGCTGTTTTTTGCTGTTGCCAACAGTGTTACCATCGATGAGGATGTGATGAGGCCCTTAGAATCTGTACCACTGGACTGGATTATACAGGAAACAAGTATAGTAAACCCTCATATACAGGAAATTCAAAACTATTTACGGGGAGCTCCTAAACCAGACTCACGTCAACTAGAGTCAACAAAGAACAAAAAAGGTTAACAATCTTCCTTGGGCCCCTTGTCCCCATATGTCTGTGGTTGTCAATCAACTCTTGCCCTCTCATTTCTTCTTCACTTGATATAAAAGAAGCATGAACTCTGCACTTTCTTAAGATGGATTTGAGACACCACCAAAGCTTCCCATCTTCTTAGTTGGAAGCTTCTCCATCAATAAACCTTTCCTTACTCCAAAAAAGGACTGCATAATTTTCCAAATGTTGCCCTCAAGGAAGACAACACTCTACTCAAACAAAAAATAAGCAGGGGCAAAAGATTCAGGAAGAATCCCTAACTGACAAAGTTTTGGTATCCAAAACCCACTCGAGTTAACTATAGTATCCCCCCAAACAAAAACAGTAAGAAACTAAACTAAAAAGCAAAAACTAATTAGCTAGCATATAGTGAGCCTTATTATCTTCTAGTAAAGGATCTGAGAAATTAGGTTGAAAATATTGAATAAATTTGTCACAGGTGGGTACTCCAAGAAAGAAAGGGGGGAAACACAAGAAAGGGCTTTAATAGTTCATTCAAGTCAAGAGACAAAGTTGGTATGTCATCTGCTATTGAAAAGTTTGTGTTGAACTTTGAAAATGGTATGATTAAGAAAGTGCTCAAGAAATGTTCTATGTACTTAAATCCTTAGTTACAATTTCGATGTTTATTTATAGGGCATAGACAACTCACATTTATGTAAGAGTTCCTTAATCTTAACAAAAACTCACTTGTAGTTATGTTTATAGAAAACAATCACTTTAAATTGCGTGACAACTTGTGGATCTATAGTAAACTCTCGGGAGCACATGGCCACATGGTTTCTATTTCTGTCTAAACTTGCTGTTCTCATTTTCTTCTGCTATTAGCATTTAGCTATATGTTTAAAAATAAAAAATGTTTCTGTAAAATCAAATTTATATAAGTCTGCTGTTACTTGGGAACTGAGTATTTTTGTAAAAAAGTATGGAAGCTTTACTTCTCATGTTCAAGGACTTTTGGAATTAAAGTTGTTGGTCCCCATGCTCACAGAGTACCTTCTTTAGGAAAACACAAAAATACTATTATATTAGATTGAAACAGAACATATGTATTGAACAACCAGCAATGGGAACTATTGGTACTATTCATTCCTGAAGCACTTGAGCTTATACGACAGAACTGAAGAGTTATTTGACACAACCAGTCACACAAGAACCTCAGAGTTTGATATGTAAAAATTAAAGTTAATGTGGCTGTTTCTGAAGTACAAACCTCAAGAAAATGTTAGAAATCTATTAAGCATCTGCCCTATATGTTAATGTTTTTTGTTTGAGCCAAAGATCAAGTAAAGCATATGCCCACTACCGCAATATATACTAATCACTGAATGTTGGAGATGAACACACCAGATCAGGCAGAACTTCTGGCTCAGTCATATTAGAGTCTAACAGTGAAAGTGCACTCTTTTGTGAAGCTGCTGAAAGTGAGGCTAAGAACTGCCATCAATAATATAAAGCAGGAAAAAAATATTAAGATATACATGTACTTTAAAATTGTAAGATACTTATATATGTGGATTTTTCCCTTCTGGAAGATAGCTAACTAGGTCCAACTGTGTACTTTTCAGAACTGCTTTTATATTAATATTAAATCCGCCTGGCCAGTGTGGTTCAGTGGACTGGACGTCATCCCATGAACTGAGTGGACTGAGAGGTCCCAGTTCAATTCCTGGTTGGAGCACATGCCTGGGTTGTGGGCTCGATCCCCAGTGGGAGGTGTGCAGAAGGCTGCTGATCAATGTTTCTCTCTCTCCCTCTAAAAAATCAATAAAAACACATTTTAAAAAACCTGTAAATCCTATTTAATAAATGATTTATAGGCTATTATACTTTATCACTATGCTCAAAACTTTCATGCAGTACCATAACTTGATTTATGATCACGTGGCTCAGTACTGAAATTTCTTGGACATTACTGGATAGCCTAAAAAAATTTCCATGCTCATATAACTTGGTCGAAGTTATACAAGTAACACTACACAAGTGATAAATGGGCATTTCCTATAGGTGAACACATTTCTCATTGGAAAGCCACACAGCTGAATTCAACGCTTGGTATTAAAATCTGGTAATATATAAGCCCTACAACAGTGACATAAATATGCTTATGAGAACCCAGTGATGAATTAATGGCCTCATATAGGCCCCTTCAGCTACCAATTAAACTTAGCAATATGCCTAAATTAGGTTCCATGAACGTACAATAGGGCTGGTTTCAAGTTACAGTCAACCGCAAGCAACCGTAGTTTAGGACTGGGAGAAATGAGTTCCTTATGTAAACAATCTTACCGGTCTGTCAACCTGCATGATCTCCCAGAGCACTTCGGCCACATCTGGTAGGGTGTAGGGGGGGAGACAAAAGCAGCATGTGTGGAGCAGCTGGCTTACAAGTTGCTGTCCAAGTTGGTTCATCACCTGTCCAATCAGTTCTTTCCGTAAGTCAAAGTCATCTTCATGCTGTAAGAGAACAGAAGCAATGGATAAGTTCTAATTTCAATTTTCCAAAGACCAAGTATTCTTTCCTCTTTAATCCAGCAGAGCATTTTCTTCTTTTTTAAACCTTTTTTCTGTGTGTGTGTCTTTTTGAGAGTATGTGCCCTTAGCGGGAACCAAACCCGGGTCTCTCTGGTCCGCAGGCCAATGCTCTATCCGTTGAGCCAAACCGGCCCGGGCGAGCAGAGCATTTTCAACAGGTGTGCTGCAAGAGACCTCTTTTCTCTTAGACTGTCAAATAAAAAAGTGACAACTGCCAACAGAACAGCAGCCGTCCAGTGTGAATGAATCAAAATCATACCTTTTTAAATTTGTCAGATCAGCAATAATATATTTTTTAGTGTGCTGCAAAATTTAGTAATTAGTTTATGTATGCCATGAGATAAAAAAGGTAGAAAATCTCTGGTCTAGCAATTTCTTCTTTCCTAGGGAAGAAAGTATACATATCATATTGCAAGTAGATTCACAAAGTCCACCAAATGATATGTCATTAGAAAGAAAATACTGAGTTTAGTATCAAAGAAATGCGCATGGGTATCAGCTGAGATTAATCCTTAGATTTTTCATGAATAGAAGGCAGAAGAGACATAATGGTTAAAGATTAAGAGTAGCAATTTTCTTAATCCTTTTTTCTGTGAAAAATAACATAAAGTATCCTTACTTCCTTTTTAAAAACCAACTGAAATAAGAATTGAAGACTTCTATCATATATCTAATCTTTTCTATAAAAAATATTTTCTTGCCCTGTCCAGTTTGGCTCAGTGGTTAAGAGTGTCAGCCTGTGGACCAAAGAGTTGCGGGTTTGATTCAGGTCAAGTGCATGTACCTTGCCCCAGCCCTGGTCGGGGTTGTGCGGGAGACAACCAGTTGATGTGTCTCTCTCACATGGATGTTCCTCTCTCTCCCTCCTATTCTATCTGAAGATAAATGAAAAAAATATCCTGGGGCGAGGATTAAAAAATAACAACAAAATATTTTCTTTCTTATAGTCTTTGAATACAAATATATTTCTAACATCTTGAAAAAAAACTATTTTAAAGCTGTCTTTCACATCTAGTTTTCCTTTTTTCTTCTCTCTTTTACCGCTAAACTTAATAATAATTAGCCTACTCACATAATTCTTTACTGCTGTTCCTTACCGTCAATTCTATTCCACATCTAGCTAAATCTACCTTTGAAAACTTTGTGAACCACTTTACTCAAGTCAATAGGTCTCTTGTCTACTAAGAAACTTAGTGCTGTCCTGACTTTCTCTGATCATGATTTATACACTCAGACTACCCTACCTGCTCCAATCCATCTGAATTCTACCTATAAGCTTATGGCCCCTCTTCCAGAAAGTTATCCCAACCTACTTCTTTTCAAAGAGCATTCCCTCTTCTGATCTTGGAGCAATCATAACTTTTATACTCATCTGACAATCAAATACTGCCTTCTTGTTGTCTTTATACCTGTTTACCACTTCAAACAGACAATAAATGGCCTGGGAACAAAAATCATTTTAGACTTTTTTTTTAATTAAAATTTTTATTTTATTTATTGATTTTTTAGAGACAGAGGAAGGGAGAGGGAGAAAAAGATGGAAATATCGATGAGAGAGAACATCGAATAGCCGCCTCCTGCATGCCCCCCCACAGGGATCAGGCCCACAACCTGGGCATGTGCCCTGACCGGGAATCAAACTGGCAACCTCTTAGTGCATGGGGTCCATGCTCAACCACTGAGCCACACTGGCTGGGCCATTTTACACTTTTAATTGATCCACTATGGTATAGGTCTAACCAATACAGATCAAATAAGAAGACAGATACCCCTAAGGAAATGAGGAAGCAATATGAGAAAATAATGCATTGCAAAATAGAAAAGATATAATGTTTATACTTACATCATTGGCTACTCCTGTATGGATGAGGTCTCGTAGGAACCGCATGACACTACAGTTGGCATCCCGGTGGTCCAGGGTAGTAGAGGCAATGGCCCACTGTAAGATAGGGATGACCACCTGACTCCTCAGCAACGTAACAGGGCTACGCTGAATAAACCTAGTATGGAAAGAAAGGCTAGGTGTGAATGACAGGAAAGGCTATAAAAGCAGCCAGGGTAAAAGGCAAAACTATGGAAAAAGTAAAAGATGAGCGGTTGCTAGGGTTTGGGGGAGGAAGGGATGAATAGGTGGAGCACAGGGGATTTAGGGTAATAAAACTATTCTGTACAATACTATAATGGTGGATACACGTCATTATACTTTTGTCCAAACTCACAGAAGGTACACCACCAAGAATAAAAGCTAATGTAAACTACATTATGTGTAAATGTAGGTTAATAATTCTAACAAACAAACCACTCTGGTGAAGAATGCTAACAGTGAAAGAGGTGGTGGGGGAAGCAGGAGGTATATGAGAACTCGATTACTTTCCACTCAATTTTCCACAAGGCTTCTCAGATCCTTTAATGTGCCCGGAGAATCTCCAAGAAAAACATACAATATTTTTCCAAGTTTTTTTTTTTTCACCCGGTAGTACAAAGAACATCTCTAGGGATTAGTTTTCAAGGAACACATACATATGTTCTAGGAAAACAGAGGTTGACAACCCACCTGTATCAACGGAAAAAATTTTTTTCTAACTTGTGCAAAAACTAACAAAAAGAAGCCCTGGCTGGTTTGGCTCAGTGGTTAGAGTGTCGGCTTGTAGACCAGAGAGTCCCGGGTTCAGTTCTCACTAAGGGCATGTACCTTGGTTGTGGTTTGTCCCCGGCCCTGGTTGGGGCAGTGTGGGTGGCAACCAGTCAATGTGTCTCTCTTACATTGATGTTTCTCTCTCTCTCTCTCTTCCCCCTTCTCTCCCTCCCGCTCTGTCTGAAGATAAATGCAAAAATGTCCTCCGGTGAGGATAAAAAAAGAAATAAACAACAAAAAATGTTCAATCCTGAGATGAAATAGTTAAGCCAATACTACTTCACATTTGTAAATGATAAAATATATATATTACATATATAATTACATACATTTAATAATGGTTCATTTTTTTTTCAAGTGCTTTTATGGTTACTAAACTGGTTTGATTAAAATTCCTTGGCTATCAACTAAGAAGGAACTCAAAGGTTTGGCAATAACCTCAGTGTTACTGGTAAAAAGAATTTAAGCATAGCACCAAATAACTTCTTTTTTAAAAATTTTTCTTTTTTTCTTCATCGATTTTAGAGAGAGGAAGGGAGAGGGAGAAAGAGATAGAAACATCGATGAGAGAGAACATCAACTGGCCGCCTCCTGCATGTCCCACACTGGGGATTTGGTCCACAACCTGGGCATGTGCCCTGACCGGGAATCAAACCAGTGACCTCTTGGTGCATGGGTTGACACTGCCACACCGGATGGGCAGCACCAAGTAACTTCTCAAGGATCTTAAAATCCTAAGAATTTTTTTCCCAAGACAATTCAAAGTTGAGGTGAAGTATCACATCATAGCAGCATACAAAGTTAAAACTACAGGGGATTTTAGAGATTATCTAGTCAAATGTTTTTACTCAGCTCAATTTTATTGTCTTGTGTGTGTGTTTCCTCCTTCGTAATAGAAACTCAGCTACTTTTCCATGCTCCCATTCAATTCCTCTTCCTCACGTATGGGGATATTCTGGCTCAAAATTTAACTTTGTGTTATGAATCATTAATCTACCTACTCAACTTACCTCATTTCACAGAGAAGGAAACAGTCAAGTGTTAGGTGATAAGACAAAGCAGTGATGGGGATGAATAATAAAAGAAATGGTTGCTTTTTGGAAGAACTGACCTGGTGGCTAGCCTGAACAGGTCATCCACTGTGTCAGGGTGATTCTGGAGCCCATTCTGCTGTTCTAGGAGCTGAAAGGTGGGGATGCATAGTGCCTAAAACAGAAGTGAGTTTTAAACAAATATTTGTATATAAATGCCACAGCATTCAGACTTGCAAAATATCACAACATATACAAAAGGAACAAAGAAGGATAGCACAGACAAGAAAAATTCTGTGACAAGAATGCAATCAAGCCCTGGCCGGTTTTGCTCAGTGGTTAGAGCGTCGGCCTGCGGTCCAGAGACCCGGGTTCAGTTCCCGCTCAGGGCACGTACCTCGGTTGCAGTTTGTCCCTGGCCCTGGTTGGGTCGTGCGGGTGGTAGCCACTCTATGTGTCCCTTTCACATAGATGTTTCTCTCTCTCCCTTTCTTCCTCTCTCTCCCTCCTGCTCTATCTGAACAAAAAGTGAAAAAATGTCCTTGGGTAAGGATAAAAAAAAAAAAAGAATGCAATCAAGAAAAGGAAGACAGAAATCTTTCTCAGTTGACATACACAGTTTTCACATATGAAATCCACATTTCAGAAATGGTTGATGGTATTGTTTTTAATTGATGAAGATGGATAGATGTCATTTCAAAGTTTTAAAAGTTCCTGAGAGTAAAGACTGTGCTTTTGTCCTAGACATGGTCAGTCTACAAAAGGAGTAAATGAAGTTTTAATTGGAAAGACATCTTAAGGTAAAGAAGCATCATAATTTAACTCCCAAAATAGTCCCATCCCCCACCCCATGACTAGGAGTGGGGAAAAGCAGTATATCAGGAACCCTTTTCAATTCCTGCTATTTACCCTAAAACCATCCCTGCTAATAAGTAAACTAGTTCACTGGCTATTCTAGGCAAGAATTTAAATCTATCTGCCCACTTCCCCACACCTTAAAAAAACCCTGTCTCTGGAGAGCATAAATTATGCAGTAATGATCGTTACATTTGTGTGGTCAATCTCTCCTCCCAAGCAAGCCTATCCAGAGAATGAGGAAGTTTCTACCTCCCTGTTATTAGGAAATCAACATTCCTGATGTGGAAACATAAAGAAGCAACAGAACTAAAGACACAGTAATGACACTAGGGCTTTAGACCATCCAAGACCAACACGTCTATTCTCCCCCAAGAAAACATACCTGGAGCATGTCTAGTAGTCCCTGCCGACAGCCCTCTTCCATGCCATACTCATCCACAAGGATACTGCCCAGGTACAGGAAACAGGAATGCTGATGTACATGGTACACATTCACCATCTGCCAAGGGAAAAACCAATTAATTCAACTCTTTACTCCTCAATAAGCAACTAAGAAAGTTGTCTGGAGGAAGAAATTCAGAGAGAGACTGGTTTCTTCTCTTTCAAACGCAGGAAGGCCTGTTGTCAACACTTTTTAAACAGAACTCAATTCCTCAACAATTTTCAAGTATTCTATTTAGACTTATTTCAAGCCTTTGACCTTTTATCTTCCCAAAACAATGCTGTAAGAGAGTTGTATAATACTTCAAGCTGGAAGTCATTAAAGAACGATTTTATCCAAGGCTTGTGTAAATATTTGTTAAACCATAGCATAGTATACTCAAATTTTCTAACACTAATGTTTGCTCTCTGTTATTTGCATTAAAAATCACTTTTATTTATTTATTTATAATCTTCACCCGAGGATACTTTTCTTTTTCATTTATCTTCAGATAAAGGGGGGGGGGGGAACACTGATGAGAGAGAGACACATTGACCGGTCGCTCCTGCATGACCCCAACCAGGGCCTGGGACCGAACCGAAACCAGGCACATGCCCTCAAGTGGAATTGAACCTGCGACTCTTTAGTCTGTGGGCTGACACTCTAACCACTGAACAAAACCAGCCAGGACAAAAATCACTTTAAAAATGATTTTTATTGATTTTATTTAAAAAAATTTGTTGTTAATCCTCATCCAAGGATATTTTTCCATTTATGTTTAGATAGAGTGGAAGGAAAGGAAGGAGACAGAGAGAGAGAGAAATATCAATGTGAGAGTGACACATTGATTGGTTACCTCCCATATGACCCAGACTGAGGACAAGATCGAACCTGCAACCCAGGTACATGCCCTTGACTGGGAATCAAACCCGAGACTCTCCACTCTGAGGGCCAACACTCTAACCGCTGAGCCCAACCAGCCAGAGCATATTTTTTGTTTTAATTTTTTTTTCATTGATTGATTTGAGAGAGAGAGGAAGGGAGAGGGAGAGAGAAACATCAATGAGAGAGAACATCAACTGGCCGCCTCCTGCATGCCCCCCACTGGGGATCAGACCCACAACCTGCGCATGCGCCCTGATTGGGAATCAAACTGGTGACCTCTTAGTGCATTAACCGACGCTCAACCACTGAGCCACACTGGCTGGGCCAGCCAGGGCATTTTTATTGATTTTAGAGAGAAAAGAAAGGAAAAGAATTGGTTAATTGATGTTTCTCCCACATGCACTCCGACCAGGTATCAAACCCACAACCTGTGTATGCGCCCTGACTGGAAATCAAACTGGTGACCTTCTGGTGCATGGGATGACATTCAACCAACTGAGCCACACTGGCCAGGGCTTCCTTTCTTTCTTTTAAAATTAGTATAGCTATAGCAGGGACAAATATACCAAATGTCCTCATCTTGGAGACTAAAAGCATTGTTTCAATTTTGAGTTGCTCCTAAACCCCATTATTTCATCTTCTAAGTAAAATCTGTTTCCAATCAAGGTATCAGTCTCAAAAGAATAAAAATTTAATGCACACATTTAAATTACATGATTTGTTTAGGATTTTTACCGTGTTATCCTCTAAATATTAAGAGACATTTATACATTCATCTATTTAAAATGCCATCACAACACACATGCATTGATCTTATATAAATTCAACTCTATGTACTTAGTGGGGGTTGAAAGATAAGAGTAACTGCTTCTTATCAGCATATACCATGGGAGGAGCATGAGATGAGAACTATGAATCTGTTCAATGTTGTATACTCAAAAAACACGTTCTATTTAATAAATAATGATTTAAGTCAGGGGCTGGCAAATTTTCTTCAAGGGCCACTAGTAACTATTTTAGGCTTTGCCAGCCATATAATCTTCTAACTACTCAACTTTGCCACTGTAGCAAAAAATGGCCAATAAATAATACTTTAATGGATAAACATGGCAATCACTCAGTAAAACTTTATTTATAAACTATAGGCTCACCGACTCTAGTTTGCTTAGCTCTTATTTATAGAACTTTTAAGAATAATTTTTAGCCCTGGCCGGTTTGACTCAGCAGTTAGAGCACTGGCCCCACAGACCACTGAGTCCCAGGTTCTATTCCGGTCAAGGGCACGTACCTCAGTTGCAGTTCATCCCCAGCCCTGGTCAGGGTCGTGCAGGAGGCACCCAGTTGATGTATCTCTCTCACATTGATGCCCCCCCCCCCCTTTCTTATCTGATGATAAATGGAAAAATATCCTCGAGTGAGGATTGAAAAAAAAAAAAAAGAACTTTCATTTTTGTCACGTGTACTCACTTTAGAATATACTTCCTATGTAAGGCTGCTCTGCTCTATTGGGTTGGTCACATACTCGTTAATTAGAAGGAATAAAAAAAAAAAACATAAAAGTCACGAGATATCTTCCAACAGCAAAGGGACATTAAATGAAGTTATATTGGACCTAGAATGTATTGCACTGAAGAAAACCCTTAATATATACTTTTGTATTCAGGGTACAGAAAATCACTAATAATTAAAATTCTGTTAAAATATATACCTGTACAAACTTCTACAATTTAAAAAGGCAAGATTATGTAAGTGTCAAATGACACTGCACTAGCATGACCCTGCCTGAGGGTGCTTCCCTAAGAGTGATGTACCAGGATGCAGAATTTAAGGTGGCACTCACTGTCAGGGTCAGCTTCTAAGAGAATGTGTCTCCTTAAAATCTGCATTGTGGGTACCCTGTCCAGGTGGAGGAGAGTCACTTCAGGTTGGGTGGGTGTGGTCTAGCAGTTTCCCTCACAACATGAATGCAAAATTTAAGAAGGCACTTGCTTAGAGTCCTGCAAATGCAGAATTGGCACTTGGCCTTGCCTCCCTCAATGCTATGTGCATGGTGCCTCACTTACTTCAATCTAGTTCTGGCCCTGCTATGAGGTTAATAACATCAACACAAATTACTTGGTGAACTAAGCCACTAGCCATAGGTGGTGCATATAGAGTAGTTCTAGGTATGATCTTAGAGAACTTTATACAGGAAGTCATCCCATCTTAATTACATATCAATCTTGGTGATTGAAAGAGTCAACTTTATATCTTGACAAATAAGAAATTTATGTGAATAACTAACTATGTTCAAGATAAAAAAAATCCCTTTGGGCCAAGAAATAGCAAAGTTGACTTACCACATTTAAAAAAAGAAAATTAATGTGAAAACACTTAGCACTGGTATAGAAGAGCTGAGCAGCAAAGCCATTCTTTTTTCCTAATTTCATACTGAAATGTATTGCTATTTAGATTATCACTATACATATTAGTTTACAGGCTGTTTCCCTTATAAGACAACATACCTACCACAGGCACTACTTACCTCTTTTTAATTATTTTTTCATTCATATTTAATTAATATAAAAGTGTTGTATCAGCAGAGTTTTTGTTCCAAAGGCTTCTATTTCAAATTCTGTACACTTTACATGTTCCCTCTCATGGAAGACTTACCTGTGTGACTAGTGGCTGCAGCAGGGCTGCAGACCCTTTGCCTACACAACGAACAGCGAAGCGGAGGCATCTGCAACAACGTTCTACAATCCGATTATCAGCCCGGTGCTTATTTAGAGTCTCAGATAAAACTGGCCATATCTGAGTTAAAAGTGAAAGAGCACAAAAAAGAACATAATGAATAAAGAGCTGGAAAAAAAAATGCTCCCAAGTTGGTAACATTTGACTTGGCTTTCAAATAATTTTAAAAAAGCTTTCTTGATAGAAACACACACGGCCTGATTCTGGCTGGTGGGTGTGCGTATATGTGTGGATCTTCAACACACTATCCATCACTAAAACATAACCACTTAAGAGAAGCCCCATGACTCTTTAGAACAGGAAAGGGAGCATGTCTAACTTTAGTAGAAGACAAAGATACCCATTTTCCTAAACTTTGAACTTCCTGATTTAGGATGGAAAGAATAGTATGAGTTATAGAGGAAGAAATGCTTAAAAGCAGTTCCAAGAAGTTGGAACACCTTGAACACAAGGACTAGAGTAAAGGAAATAGGATTATTTGTTACCATTGAACACTTAAGAATATTTGGTGTGCCCCTTGCCCTACAGTCTGAAAAGCACTTCTTCCATCTAGGCCTGACCCTGCTTAGCTTCCGAGATCAGATGAGACTTGGCGTGTTCAGGCTGGTAGGGCCACAGACTGCAAAGCACTTCTCAAACCATGCTTTTTGATCCTTACATTATCCTCCGTGAAAAAGCATAAGGAAAGCATGTTATCAATAGGAAAACTAAAACCATGAAGGTTAATTGGCTTTGTCAAAACATTTTTGCTAGTATTAATCAGGCTTCCTAGCAACTACAGGATTCACACAATCTCTCCTTACTTTTTTGGCCTTTCAATGAATCTCCCCACAGCCTGTTTTCTTAAAACACTTAAAATCAAAATTATTTGGATGGTCCCATTCATCTTAATTTACGTTTAAACCATATCAAATTAAATCTTTCTATGAACCTAGACGAAAGTACCTTCTCACTCTAGTTACCCACAGCATTGTAAGGAAAAAGGAAGAAAGTCTTGTACCACAGGCATCTGTTAACACTTACTTCCTGTATGACTTTTTGGCACGGATGAGTCTGTCCATTTTCCACAATGGGGTTGGTGTGTCTGTGGAAACACAACAGCCCAAATTAGTGAAAGAAGAGCAATTTTACCAAGTACCCAAAGCCCTGTCCCTGTTAGTTTATTTCGTGTCATATCACCAAATAAAAAAAATGAGACAGTAAAGTTATTTTTAAGAATCAACACCTTTTCCTCCTATTCTATTCAAACAGTTTTAAATCATCCTATTGCCACCTTTAAGCCACTTGCACTAGAACATGTAAATTCAATCTAACTCTGGGTATATTGGCTGTGGGTATGGGACACTATAATTATCCTTTTCATTTTTTCCCCTTTATAAACCTAAATATGTAATCTCTTCCAAATAAAAAATATATACAGGCTGTCTGAATCCACTAAGAGAAACCAAGTACTGCTCCTCAGCGTTAAGAGTCAAAAGCTTGCCTGGCTGATGTGGCTCAGTGGTTGAGTGTCGACCCATGCAACCAAGAGGTCGCCGGACCGATTCCCGGTCAGGGCACATGCCCATGTAGTGGACCCGATCCCCAGTTGGAGGGCATGATGGAGGCGACCAATCAATGTTCTCTCTCATCAATGTTTCTATCTCTCTCTCCCTCTCCCTCTAAAAATCAATAATGAAAAAAAAAAATACTTAAAAAAATGTCAAAAGCTTTAGGAACTCTAGTCTACCAAAGATGTTTCTCATGAGTCTAGTCTGAACCCAGTGATACACACAACACGCAGGCCCACCCACAATTATGTCAAATCCAGCTATCTGTCTAGTTTCTAGAATCCACTATTTTGAAGCAGAAAAGAAAAACTGTATGATTAACTACCAACCTCTTTAAAGGAAAAAAAATTCTTTAATTTTAAATGTTCAACAGTAAATTAATTAAAATATAATTTTCTTTAAATCCAAGCATTTCCATCTATTGCGAATTTTTTCTTATTTATTATAAATTAAGGGTCCGTTAATAGGCTCTCAGAATGGCATGTAACAGGATTCTCTCATTATACAAAGAAAACATTGCACCAACTCATAAAGATATCTGCAAAAACTAGTAAGCTAAAACAATGCCTATTTTAACTTATACCACATAGGGTTTTATGCAACTATTACTCTGATATTCCAGTTATATCTATGGGTCTCACAAATTATAAATTATGTAACTTAGTAAGGATCATTCTTTGAACATTGTCAGGCAAATGCATTTTTAATCATTAGGCTCCTCTTGACTTCAAAGAAGGATTAATTTCACCTGGTTACTGAAGAGACTTCATTATTGTTTTGTACCAATACACTACACAATGTGTCTGAAAGTGTGTGGTACTTAGAATAGCAAGCAGTATCAGCAGCATCACCTGGGAACTTATAAAAAATGTAAATTCTTGGGTCCTACCCAAGATCCAATCAATCAGACAATCTGAGGATGGAACCCAGCAATGTTTTGATAAGCCTTACAGGTGACTGATGCATGTCAAAGTTTGAGAATCACTGACCTAGAGACCTAGAAGAATTAATTATATATTTTTTGTTGTTAATCTTCACCCAAGGATATTTTTCCAACCCGTGACCCTTCGTGATCCTTTAGTATGAAGGGCAATGCTCTACCTCATTGAGCCAAACTGGCCAGGGCAAATTAATTACATTTTAAAGGGTCTTTTGACAGCCCTTCCCTCCCTGGGCCATGTCACATGACCCACAGGACCCCTCCGTGGGACAGCCAAAGACCCAGCGCAAGCAAACCAGAGAAGGTCTGGCGGGGGGTGTGGACTGTGAATCTCCCAGAGGCACATGTGGCCCTGCAGACAGAGGACACCAGGGATTCCTGAGCCCAGGAGCTGATGGTGGGTATGTCTTCCCCACCAAGGACTTGGAACCCTCTCCCACTGAGAAAATCCACAGCCTCCTAGTTTCTTCCAGGCCACTGCCCACGGTGGCCTTTTACAGTGGACTCAGTATGGGAACCTGCTGACCCTTGACACCCTTGACTTTAGCACTCCGTGTATCATGATGGGGTTTGCCATCACCCAAGGTCACTGTAAGGTGGAAGCCCCGGTCCCATTGCCCATGCTCTATGCGTGCTGACATCGTCAGTTTCTGGGTGCTAACCATTCAGTTTGGGAGTTTTGCTTCTAGTTGATTTGGGCACACTTATCTTAGTGTTTCAGAAGGAAATGAGGTTCGTTTTCTCCCCGGGGCCTTTGATTCCTTAGGGATAATGAAACCATAGCCGAGTGTTTCTACCTCACATCATATCTCTCTAATCTAAAATTATTCCTAACAGTATGGGTGGTAGTGCAGGATAGGTACAGTTCTATTGGGAGCACCTTGGAAAAATTCACCAAAATTATGAATGCAGATATCCTTTAACTGCATTTTTATGAATTTATTCTTCATAGATACTCTTGCATATGTACAATGATGTGTGTAAAGGTCATTTGTAGGTTAGATTGAAAACCACCTTACTGTCTATTAGTAAGAAACTGGTTCAATGAAGTACATCTATCCATCCAATAAAATAAATAAATAAAAGGTCTTTTGACAAAGGTCTATCAAGAACAAGTTCTCAGAATTTGCCTTTGCCTAAGACTTCAGGCAATGACCTTAATTAAGCCTCCTGACAGAGGAGATTATAGGAGATAGTTGGATAGTTGGGAATTTGAGGGGAAAAAACACTTGCTTACTTTAATACATAAGGGTCCCATTTGTGCTTTTAACCCAAGACAGGCATCTGGAGTCTTCCTTCTTACCTAAATATTACCGCAAGACGATCTAAGAACACAGTGGGATCTGAGGATATGCCATTGCTGGGCTCCTGAGACAACAGCTGAAGAGACGAACATTAACATTCAGTCATTAAACATACAAACCTACAGCAAACACTGCAACATACACCCTTACACATCAACCTCTGTCTCAATCTCTGTTTATTTCTTGAAAGTTACGCGAATGGTGCAAACTTTTAATTCACATTGTCAAATTACTTTCCTCCATCTCATGCATCCTGGCCAAGATTATATATTACTAACATTTTAACATATAATCATTGTGGAGTGGAAAATATCATTCATTTTTTCCATTTACTTTTATTTATGATTGAGACATTATGTAAGTCATATATAAAACACTATTATGTTACATAATCTATATTATATTCACATTCCACTTTAGCTTTATATATTTTCAGAGATAAGTTGCCCCTTATTCTTCTTTCCTAAAATTTCTTAGATATTTCCACCACAATATCATCAGAGATGAACTTTAGAATCCTTTTGTCATGTTCTCTTAAAAATCCTATTGGTATGTTCACTGTTACTGTACTAAAGATGTAATTCAATACGGACTGGCATCTTTACATATTCTTCAAGGAAACTTTGTAGGTTATGGTTTTGGTTGCTAACTTTAATGGTACTTTTCCAATTATATCTTCTAAATGGTATTACTGATATTATGAAAATCTATTGATTTTTAATTACTTATTGCATGTATGCAGTTATGTTAAATAGACATTAATTTTAATAACTTTTCAGTTCATTCTCTTGGCTTTTCTAGGTAGATAAAAGATCACATGTAAATAAATAATCTTGTCTTTTCCTTTCTAACACCTTAATTTATTTTACCACCTTCCTTGACCGAACTCACCTTTTTCAATGCCATAACCTGAACAGAACATAGCTCACTAAGACATTCAGTAATCTTATCCAATGGTAATCTGGCTAGAACAAGTGCTGTTCCTAAAGACAAAGAAAGATACAGGTGAAGGAAACAAAAATTTATTTGAGATTATTCATTGGTCTACATGATGTGGTTAATGGAAAAGGCTGACTGGTCCCATTCTTTCAAAAAGATCAGCACTGTTTTTAAAATTTCAGTATTTTGTTATTGATGGTTGGTTTTTCTTTATAGCAACCCATTGATTTAAAGATGTTTAAATATATCTCCCCTTCCAAGTCTTCAAAGACTTAAAATCTCCTCCACAAAGCCAACACCAAAGCTATTTTTTTCTTTATTTATTTTTAGAGAAAGAGGAAGGGAAAGGGAGAGAGAGATAGAAACATCGATGAGAGGGAACATCGATTGGCCGCCTCCTGCATGCCCCCCACTGGGAGTTTGGCCCACAACCTGGACATGTGCCATAACTGGGAATTGAACCGGCGACCTCTAGGTGCATGGGTCAATGCTCAACCACTGAGCCACACAGGCCGGGCCCAAAGCTATTTTTATATAACACAGTACAATAGTTCTCAAACTTGCCAGAGATTCTGATTTACTGGGTCAAGGAGAGCCATTATTTTTGATAAGTACCATAGGCAATTCTTATCATCAGAGAAATTGGAGAAATACAAACATAATTTTTTAAAAAGAATGAGCTGAAATTAAAGATTTAATTTTAGTTCTACTATAATAGAATCTATGAACTGGGTTAAAGCATTCTCTCTAGGCATCCATTTCTTTATAAAATGAGTGCTTTGAACAGAAAAGTAATAGTTCAGTTTGCCTTTTTTGTTGTTTTTAAACAGTTGCAAGTCTCCCTCCTTACTTCCCCACCCCCAAATAAAATCTTAACTTGGAACTCCAATATAGGTTAAAAAAAAAAAAAAGAGGTAGTTAGGTTAAAGTGAAGACTCAGCCTCCCTCTTTTCACAATCTCCATCAACTGCTGAAGCACCTCCCTCCAAACTCAAAGGATAATGTATTAGACTAGGTCCCTTCTAGGACCAAGACCTCGACTATCTCTCATCTCCTAAAATTTCATTCAACAAAACAGTAATCAATCCATAAATCTTCAAATGTGAATAAAAAACAACGATTTGCCCTGGTCGGTTTGGCTCCACGGTTAGAGTGTCGGCCTGTGGTCCAGAGAGACCCGGGTTTGGTTCCCGCTAAGGGCACGTACCTCAGTTGCAGTTTGTCCCGGGCCCTGGTTGGGTTGTGAGGGAGGCAGCCACTCGACGTGTCCCTTTCACGTCGATGTTTCTCTCTCTCTCTCTCCCTCCCACTCTATCTGAACAAAAAATGGAAAAATGTCCTCGAATGAGGATTAAAAAAAACCCTGAATGATTTTTCCTGACAGCCTATTAACCAGGGACGTACAAACTTTTGTTTAAAACTAGATTTTAAATTAAAACCTGACTTAAATATAATTACTTCTTTTAATTCATTCCTATAGAAAGACTGTAACTAAAAACAGTTTTCTATGTCTAGAAGATACCACTGAAAACTGGGATGCCACCTTCTATCATCACAGGTTAGACATCACTTCAGCCTCAAGGTTAAATTTCACTACAAAATGACAAGATGGCAGCAATAACCACGGTAGTAGTTACAAAGACTATCTGACTCTGTTTTAATGCCTTATTATTTATGCCTATAAAGGGAAACAACAAAATCTCATGCTACCAATAAAAAAATCTGTCTTGGAAAATACAGTTACACTGGCTGATGAGGAACCTGGTCATAGAAGTGAGAAAGTACAGCTAATTCACATATAAGGTCATCCAGACTTACCCAGACTAACTGTTTGTCACACAGGTTTAAAAGATGCTGCACAGGTCATATTACCCAGTGTTTTATTTCACAGACTCACATCCCCTTCTCAACTATCAGCTGTAAGGATTTTACTACCTCACAGGACACCTCAATCTGCTTTCAGAATGTTTAGTTAGAAAGCATTTTCTTTCTAAGAGCCAATAAATTGTCAACAGTTGATCACTCATGGACTAAATCTGTTCCCTCTTTTACAACATTATCTTCCAAATATTAAAAAATAGCCATCATGTTTAAAGTCTCTTCTAAGTCTTTTTTTCCCTCGTCATAATATCTCTAGTTCTATTACGTTAAGCTTCATCATCACTCTGGCTACTTGCCTCTCGATAGTCAATCACTTAGTGTAAACTGATCAGTATTGGTTAAAGAACACTAAGAGACCAGGACCCTTGGCTTCTACTTGTAAGACTGATGCAAGCATTCTACCTTTAAATTTCCACTCACCTTACCTCTTTGGTATGGCAATACTTATTTGGTCTCCCTTTTTATTCAATATTTATTTATCTCCCTTTGTCTCCACCCAAAATCTAGGTCTGTGCTATACATACTATAAGCAGTCTGAATTAGCTTTACAGGTTTACAATATTCTAAGAATGTATGTACACATAATCAACACCCTTCCCTCTGAATAGAAAAGATACCTTACCCATCACTAAGTAAATTGCTACTGAAAAACCAGGATATGACTATGTAAGATAACCCCCAGAAGTGGCTTAGAGGAGACTGTTCCTGGTTAATATCTTAAGTAAATACCTTTTAACAAGCCCACAGCAGCTTCTGGAGACAACATGAAGGAATCAAGGGAACGGGCAATCTCCAGGAGTCCATTAAAGTGCTGAGCCATGTGGTCTCGGCAGACAGAACAAATGTTATGAATGGCTTTGGCTGCAGCAGAAGCCAGGGGCTTTTCACACAGGCCTTTCATCAAATAGCCCAAAACAGGGTCTAAGGAAAAAAGCCATACAGTAGAGATTACATATTTGAAACACAAAGAAAGGGATGTTTACATTCCCTTTCTTTTTAAAGCAAAAGAACCATTTTGTTTCTATTTATTTATGTTTAGAAATATATTTATATTGATCTTTGAGAGCAAGAGGAAGGGAGAGATAGAAACATCTACCTCCTGCATGCCCCCTACTGGGGATGAGGCCAGCAGTCCGGGCATGTGTCCTGACAGAGAATCGAACCAGGACCTATCAGACCACGGATCGACGCTCAATCCACTGAGCCACACCAGCTGGGCAGCAAAAGAACCATTTACAAAAATGAAATGTGGTCCTGGCTGGTTTGGCTCAGCAGTCAGAGCATCTGCCCATGGACCAAAGAGTCTCAGGTTCAATTCCAGTCAAGGGCACGTGCCTCAGTTGTGGTTCGGTTCCTAGCCCTGGTTGGGTCATATGGAGGGGCAACCAATCGATGTGTCTCTCTCACATCAGTGTTTCTCTCTCCCCCCTTCTTTCCTCCTTCCCACTGTCTGAAAATAGACAGAAAAAATATCCTTGGGTGAGGATTAAAAAAATAAAAAACAAGAAAAGAAATGTGTTCAAATCCCAATATATAAACATAAAAATAGAGCCGATCTCATGGACATAGTGTGAGGAAGCCCTGAATTCACAGAGCACAGTTTGAAAACCACTGGAGGATATGGCCATCCAAGTATTAAGAATAGGGCATATAAGAAAGAATGTAAAGTTCAGAGAGCTACCATTATAGTCATAGATAATCACTTTGCAAAAACAGCCTACATTAATCAGAATGATGATAGTTATCTAAAGCTGACACTGTTATACTTTCTTCTTTATAGTTATAAAGGGTTTTAAAAACATGCAGATGGATCTTCACACTTCTAGAAGAATTATGTTTTATTTTTTACAAAATATAAGTATTCCAAAGTAACTGATTATAAAGGTGAATTTCTATAAAGCAAATCAACTAAGCAATAACTCATAAAATATTTACTTTCAGTGTCTAGAAACATCCTACCTAGCAATAAAAGAGAAAGCAGGAAAATGAGCAAAAGTAAGAGAAAGGAAGAAGAAAATCAGAAAAATCAAAAGCAGCAGCGGCTGAGGGGAGAGTTGACACACATACCAAGGAATTGAGGATTTCGATCAACCACTTCGCTCATCTCTCCAACCAACTCAATGCTGGTGTACCGCACAGCTGTATGTACAGTCTCTGGGAGACGAACAACTCCTTCTAGGACCTCCACAAGCGTTGGATTGTTCTCCCTGAGTATAGAAGGCAAACACTCAGAATTATTGATTTCAGAGATTAGGTTTTGACCAACAATAGGCCGCAATGACACAAATCATTGCTAAAGGGCTTCTTTCTAAACAAGTAACCATTTGGATAAAAGTACTTAACACTTGATATGAAAGTGTTTTAAATCCTAAAAATAAAGAGAAAAGAAAGAAATGGAAGGTTATCATTGTTTCAAGAGAAGCATGCTGCTTGCTCCTTAATCTTTTGGCATGCCAGTGAAGTGTCCAAAGATATAACCTGCTACCAAATTAGGCTCTTCAAATTGGAGAGGCAGGCATTTACTATGGATGTCTTCTTTAAAATGATCTGTTTTATAAAGCCCTGGCCAGTTTGACTCAGGAGTTAGAGCATCGGTCTGCAGACCAAAGAGTCGCAGGTTTGATTCCGGTCAAGGGCATGTACCTCGGTTGTGGTTCAATGCCTGGCTCTGGTTGGGGTCGTGCAGGAAGCAACCAACCGATATGTCTCTCTCACATTGATGTTTCTCTTTCTCTTTCTCCCTCCCTCCTTCCCTCCCTTCCACTGTGTCTGAAAATCAATGGAAAAATATCCTTGAGTGAGGATTAAAAAAATAATAACCTGTTTTATTTATTCCTATATCTGCAGCACCTAGAACAGTGCCTGGCACATAGTGGGCACTCAATAAATATTGCTGAATGGCTAAGCAAATGAATGAATATTTCTCATAGATGACTTTTTATTAGTTGTTATTCTCCAAAAGATTTCTTCTAGCTGGATACTAGAAACTTTAAGAACAGTTAAGCATGGGTGGGCCAGTTCACTAACTAAAGAAACAAGAACACAAGCCGCAGGTATAGGTAAAGGTACCCTGACTTGGAACATGAGGGAAAATTCAAGTTAACCAAATACTTTCCACAGCTCCGTGAATTCATTTTTCCCTTTTCCTTCTCCCTTTTTTTCATTCCCTAAGAATGCTGGCTAAAGTTATTTAAGCAGAGTGAGGATGCCCTCAAAGTGGTAGAACATAATCCAGAAATAAAAGATGTTTAAAATGTAAATTATATCATGAATTAGAGCAAGAGCACTCCCTACTGATAAACTAAGTCTACTGAGTCCCTTATATACACTAAAAAATTACACCCGTGCAGATGGCTTGAGAAGTGGATAAATAAAAAACAAAATAGAATCTTATCTCATTTACGCCTTATGCTTCCCAGGGACACTTAGCTTATTATTGATACTCTTTACCTATCTTTTGTTCACAGCAACACATATCAGTTAGAATATTAGTGATTTTAACAATCTTCAGGCTGTCAATGAAGGTTCCAAAGACAACAAAACAGGTTTAAGAGCAAATAGGATAGTATATTATTCAGGACCAGAACTTCTTAATAGAAAAAAAAACAAACCTACTCTGTGTCCTTGAATATTTACTGAATTAGAAACATTGTAAGATTTAGTTGACTAGGCCCTGTAAGGCAGATAAGAAAGAAGCACTGTACTTTTTTACAAATACACGCTCTAACCATCTCTCCAATCATGGCCCTGGATAGAGAACTCGACTGTAGGCATCTAATCTTAATACAAGAAAACCTGACAGATATTAGCACCAATTTACAAACTCACAGCATAAAGTAAACTCTGTTTTTAGGGATTCATGTTAAAAATATAAATAGAATTTCTATGCTAAGCAATTAGAAATCTAACTAATAATTAAAAATCTTCTAATGACAATAACAAAAATAATAATTGTACTTTAGATTTTGCTACTCTTGTAGGTAAAAGAGTGCCTATGCCTTGCCTCTCTGAAATTCACAAATGACTCTCTAATACACACAAAAAGGGAGAACAATTATTTCTGATTATACCAACTTTCACAAGGGATCCTTGGTTAGAAAAATAAATCAGCATTTCATTATCAAGAACAAGATAATTTTAACTCTAGGAAATGTGGTTAAACATGGATATCAGCAATGCATACTACTCTGGATGAGACACTAGAAGTCAGAAGACTAGACAACAATTATAGGACATTCTAAGAGAATACCACATGAGAAAAATGGTGTCATTTTCCTTCCTTTGATATTTAGAGTTCCCAGCAAAAGACTTATTAGACACTCACGGATCAACACTCTTTGCTATAGCAGCCATGATAAAGAGAACCGCTTCTGTCACCTCCCAGGGTGGGTTGCCTTCTTTCAGAGTAGAATATAACTAGAGAAGAAGAGGTGGATTATGGATCCATTAAAAGGAAAACAGAACAGAATTCCAAACAAACAAAACAAAAAATTCCTGTTAGCTAAAATAAATCTAGCCCCTTGTTTCTAAATCTAATTTATTGTCTTCTCCAAGCCAGGGGAGAATATTATTTTTATTTTTCTCATTGTCACTAATTATTAATAAAGAACTATTAATCTAATATTTGAAATAAACCCATTTAGATTTCCACAAGATTATTGTCTGCCCCACAAAATGAGTTTTATGGAAAAAAGAAAACATATTACACAAGTGTTTTTTCCTTGTCCTGATAACAACTAATACATAAACACACTTAAAATTGAGATACGATGTAAATTCTCTATATATGCATCGGCTTTATATTTCTATTGTCTGCATCAAACTATTAGTACAGATTAAATTCCTAAAAAGTAGCTGCCTAGCCTAGCCAGTGTGGCTTAGTGAATTGAGAGTCATCCCATGGACTGAGAGGTCCGGGTTTGATTCCTGGTCAGGGCACGTGCCCGGGTTGCGGGTTCAATCCCAAGTATGGGGTGTGCAGGAGGAAGCCAATTGATGTTTCTTTCTCTCTCTCTAAAAATAAATCAATAAAAACATATTTTAAAAAAAGTAACTGTCACCCTGGCTGGTTTGGCTCAGAGGTTAGAGCATCAGCCTGCGGATCAGTCCCAGCTTTGGTTCCCGCTAAGGGCACGTACCTCAGTTGCAATTTGTCCCGGGCCCCGGTTGGGGTCATGTGGGTGGCAGCCACTAGATGTGTCTCTCTCACATCGATGTTTCTCTCTCTTCCTCCCTCTCTCCTGCCGGCTCTATCTGAAGATGAAAATGCAAAAATGTCCTAGGGTGAGGGTTAAATAAAAAAGTAACTGTCTAAAAGCACCTATCACAATACCATGTCCAAACAAGGTAGGGCTGGGGAGACCAAGCAGAATACTGAGAGATGTCCAGAAATTTCCCAGGGTATATCCATCTGTGGAATGTGACTGTGTGTTAGACTAAGATTTCTGTAGCCAAATTAACAGACACTATTAGGTAAGACAAAATGAAATAATCCTGTTGTCATAGGACTTCACAAAGCCTTTAATATATTATTTAAATCCTTTCCCCATTGTAAATGATAGACCCTTTTCTGCCAAAGAATATCCCATGGGACTGATGTTCCACAGAACATATCTTGAACACTGATGATTTATGTAAATTTGTAAACTGAGACCTGGAAAAGAATAAATAACTTGGTGCCCTGGCCAGATGGCTCAGTTAGTTGGAGCATCAACCCATACCAAAAAAAAGTTATGGGTTCAATTCCTGCTCAGGGCATATACCTAGGTTTCAGGTTCAATCTGCAGTCGGGGCGCAGCAACCAATTAATGATCAATTTCTCTCTCTGTCTCAAATCAATGAACATGTCCTTGGCTAAGGATTAAAAAAAAGAAAGAAAGAATAAGTAAATTGCTTAAAGCCATGGAGCCAGTGAGAGAACTAAAATCTGAAAACAGGTCACCTGTTTATGATCTGAGGATCTCACTCTTATCTGAGAATCCCCAATCCTTGTAGTTAGGTCAATAAACACACTTTGTGCCCAGCCAGTGTGGATCCCTGGTTGAGGTTGACCCCATGCACCAAGAGGTCACCGGTTCGATTCCTGGTGAGGGCACATGCCTAAGTTGTGGGCCAAATACCCAGTGCAGGGCATGAAGGAGGTGGGCAGTCTATGTTCTCTCTCATAGATTTTTCTACCTCTCTCTCCCTCTCCCTTCCTCTCTCTAAAAAAAATCAATAAAGAAAAAATATTTAAAAAAATAAAATAGCCCTGGCCGGTTTGGCTCAGCGGTTAGAGCGTCGGCCTGCAGTCCAGAGAGACCCGGGTTCGGTTCCCGCTAAGGGCACATATCTAGGTTACAGTTTGTCCCTGGCCCTGGTTGGGTCGTGTGGGTGGCAACCACTCGATGTGTCCCTTTCACGTCGCTGTTTCTCTCTCTCTCTCTCCTTCCCACTCTATCTGAACAAAAAATGGAAAAATGTCCTCGGGTGAGGATTAAAAAAATAAAATAAAATAAATAAATAAAATAAACACACTTTGCTTAATATAAAGAAAAATAATTTATTAACACTTTCTAGATAATATTATGCCCCAAAATACACAAAATTAGATTAGTTCAGTATTGCTGACAAAACATCAAAACTAGTACTCAGAGCTTACAGCAAGATCGAGCAATATGAAAACCACCTGAAATTATGCTAATTGTTAAGTGATGTGGAATGGTGATGACTGCATCCTTAATGACATAAAGTGTTATTCACTGATTGTCAGGAAAACCACAGGACTATGATTCTTCTACTCTAGTATCACCTCTGGGATGAAACTGCACAGGAATCTAACCATAAGTGTGGATAAAGTCAATGCCAAATAACTAAAAAGAGTTGCCAGGAGTTGGTACATAATTATCAAAGCAGACAAACTAGCTACTTTTCCTGGCTAGATCCAAATTCCCTATAAATATCTTGGGGGCTTTAGGGTTTCTCTATGATCTTCCACTCCAGCTGGACAAGTAGAACAGCTCTCCTTAGCAAGCATCATAGAGCAAACTATAACTAAACCATTCACAGACTGCAATTGGCTTGTAAGACAGTAAATAAACATAGCTACTATATGCCAGGCAGTGTGTTAGGCACCTGCATATCTATTGTCCTATTTAGCCATTGAGATTGAAGAAAAAACTGGAACATTTATAGAAGACACCGAAGTGAAAACAATTAAAGTGATCATTAAAACTGGTAAGAATCTTCAAATAGGCTTACCTGAGCAAAACACTCCATAGACCCAATCAGAAAAATCAAGTCTTTCACCAGGTCTGATACTCTCATTCGAAACTCCCCAAAGTCATCCGTCTCCTCAGGAACCCCCTCCTGAAATAACAAATCAAATAACATGTCTTAAACTCACTATGGCTTTCACAGACCACTACAAAATCAAGAAAAAAGAAAAGGCCATTGAGTAGTCCATTCTCAATAGACAAAAGATAAACCACACAGATATTTTACTATAGAGCATCTCCCAAACTTTTAGGTATCTCAAGTAAATGAAACCTATACCACCCTTACTATGAGAAACTCTTCTACTACTTCATTTTTTTTTTTTTCATCTCCAAGTTACACCTTGCAAGATTAGTAGAAAATTTTGAAGTGGTGGTGGTCTGAAGTGACCTGGAAGAGGTGTTAATTTCCGAGTTTATAAGCTCATCTAGATAAGGTTTAGTTTTATAGCACTGAATAAGCCTCTGAAGCTTTGTGGTTCAAGATCTACTAAAATCAGACTTCCAGTCAAGATGGCAGTGTAGGTAAATATGGTCTCTCCTCCTTCCACAACCACATCAAAATCACAAATAAACTACAGAACAAATATCCTTCAGAACCGCCTGAAATCTAGCTGAATGGAAGTCCTACAACTATGAAATTAAAGCAGCAGCCACATCGAGACTGGTAGGAGGGGCGGAGGTGCAAACAGGCTGGTCCCACCCAAACGTGTGGTGGATAAAAATCAGGAGGACACCTCAGGAGTGAGGAGTCCCCATCCCACACCAGGCCCCAACTCAGGGTTCCAGTGCCAGGAAGAGAAGTCTCCATAACTTCTGGCTGTAAAAACCAGCAGGAAATGAGGGTGAGGGAGGCTGAGGCTGCTGAAGCCCCAGGCAGTTCCCCACACATGGCGCATGGACTTACTAGGACTTGCACCTTCCAGGCTCCAGAGTGGGGGAGGCAGTTTTACAGGCACCAGAGACACACAGTGAAGAGATAGAAGGGCAGCTTTCTTCCAGAAGACTTGCTGGCAGAGGCCACTGTTCCTCTGGTGAGCCCTTCCCTGGGGCGGCAGAAGGCCACCATATCTGGGCCTCCAGCAACCCAGCTCCCACTGTTTGCCCTGCCCTGGTAATTTCCTGTGGCCCTGCCCCACCCAATTTTCAGGCCCACCCAAGCTGTTTCCAATGGCATTACCATAGGATTGGCCTGTCTTGGATCCTGCTTCAGATTTTCCTAAAATCTCTCAAACAAGAAGCATCTGGTCTCAGTGAGCCTCACACCTCTCATTAAGTGGCCACAGGCCTGGTACTAGCAATAGCCAGCCTTGGTTCACAATTTGGCTTTTCCTAGGCACCTCCAAACCCAGCAAAAGCAGCAGCCATCGGCAGATCACTTTGTAGCTTATACCTGGTGGCCCTGGGTAGAACACAGGTAGTGGCTGACCTTGCCCCAAAGCCAGCACACCCAATGGATAGCTTCAGACCACATTGAAGCATCACCACCCAACCACCTCCACAAGTGACACACTCAATGAGTGGACTCAGTGGGTATCAGAACTCTGCTGAAGTAAGTCTTGCTCTGTGTGGTGGGCCTCTGCACAGCTGATCCTCCAAGGTAGTCAGAGGTCAACAGTGGGCACAGTCAGTCCTCGAAGCTGAGAAGCTTGAGTAAATCCCTCCCATTGACGTGCTAACAGCAATCAAGACTCAATCACAACAGAAGGGTAAAAAGTCCACATTAGGGGTACACCACGAGGGTCCAGCCGGGGTGATCAGGAAGGCTGTGCCACTGGATCCTACAGAACATCTACTACAATAAGCCACCACAGGAAGCCTAGGAGACATAGCAACTCTATCTAATACATAGAAACAAACACAGGAAAGCAGTCAAAATAAGAAGACAAAGAAACATGTCTCAAAAGAAAGAAAAGAACAAAACTGCAGGAAAAGAACTAAACAAAATGGAGATAAGCAATCAATCAGATGCAGAGTTCGAAACACTGGTTATAAGTAACTTAAGGAGAACTTCAAGGAACTTAAGGAGAACTCTAAGGAACTTAATGAGAACATCAACAACATAAAAAACGCCAATCAGAAATGAAGGATGCACTAACTAAAAAAAAATAATAATAATGTATATGAAATCAATAGTAGAGTAGGTAAAGCAAGAAGCAAACCATCAATTTAGAATATAAGGAAGCAAAAAACACTAAATCAAAACAGCAAAAAAAAAAAAAAAAAATTATAGTGTAAGGAGCCTCTGGGACAACTTCAAGCGTGCCAACATTTGCATCATGGAAGTGCCAGAAGGAGAAGAAAGAGAACAAGAAATCGAAAACCTATCTGAAGAAATAATGATAGAAAACTTCCCCAATTTGGTAAAGGAATACCAGTCAAGGAAAAATGAAGAGTCCCAAACAAGATGAACCCAAAGAGGTCCACACCAAGACATATCATCATCCAAATGCCAAAGGTTAAAAACAGAGAGAAAATCTTAAAAGGAGGAAGAGAAAAGCAGTTCATTAGCTACAAAGGAGCTCCCATAAGACTGTCAGCTGATTTCTCAAAAGAAACTTTGCAGGCCAGAAAGGAGTGGCAAAAGATATTCAAGGTAATGAAAAGCAACGACCTACAACCAAGATTACTCTATCCTGCAAAGCTATCATTTAGAATTGATGGCCATATAAAGAGTTTCCCAGAAAAGAAAAAGCTAAAGGAGTTCACCACCACCAAACCAGTATTATATGAAATGTTGAAGGGTCTTCTTGAAGGAGAAGAAAAACAAAAATATGAACAATAAAATGGCAATAAATACATGTCTATCAACAAGTGAATCTACAAACAAAATGAGCAAGCAGAATAGAAAGAGACTCATAGATACAGAGAACTTTTTGTTGTGTGCCAAATGAGAGGGGGCTGGGAGGATGGGTGGAAAAGATGAAGGAATTAAGTACAAATTGGTTGTTAGACTGATGAACCTCAAAGGGAAGGGGGGAGGGAGGGCGGGATTAGATAAACCAATGGACACAGACAATAGTGTGGGGAAGCCACGAGGGGGTGGGACTGGAGAGGAGGGGGTTAATGGGTGAAAAAAAGGGAAGACATTTGTAATACATTAAACAATAAAGATCAGTTTAAAAAAATCTACTGCCCTGGCTCAGCGGTTAGAGTGTCGGCCTGCGGTCCAGAGAGACCCGGATTCCATTTCTGCTAAGGGTGGGCACCCCAGTTGCAGTTTGTCCCTGACTCTGGTTGGTTGTGCAGGTGGCAGCCACTCAGCCACTCAATGTGTCCCTTTCACATCGATGTTTCTCTCTCTCTCTCTTCCTCTCTCTCCCTCCCACCCTATCTGAACCAAAAAATGGAAAAATGTCCTTGGGTGAAAAAAAAAAAAAATCTACCAAAATCAACCATTACCACAATAACTAGACACAGAATAAAATTATTTAAGAAGAATTTTATATAGGTGAACAGACATAATAAAACAAATATAGTAAAATATTAACGGTAGAATTTAGGTAGTAGGCCTACAGATATTCACCAATAAAATCATTTCACCTTTGCTGCATATTTGAAATTTTTCATTAAAAAACAGAGATCATTTACATTTCAATATTTCTTAAGTATTTCTTATTTCAATACACTGCTATGAGTAAACAAAAGCTTACCAATTGTGAGATGATTAAGGGCACGTATAAAAACCTTGGACCGTGAAATCTGAAAAAAAAGTCCTTAGTACCACTGAGAATTACTGATCTAGTTCAACCTCCTTACTTTAAGATGAAGACATTAAAGTGAAGGAGTAAAGAGGAAAGGAAATAATGGCTGTCTTAGATGAGATAAGGAATTAAAAAAGCACTATACACCTACAGGCACAGGGAATTACCCACAAGGGAAATGATAATGCCACGGAACTAGCAAAGGGAAGAAAAAAATCCAGCAAGTAGAACCATTTAAACCAGAGTGGCCTGCTTTTATTTACATTATCAGGTTTCTAAGTAAGATGTAATTAAATATAGGATTCATCAGTTTAAAAAAAGTATTGAAAGCCACTAGATCACTAAGGTTCTGCAGAGACACAAAATATTTTATACTATTTCTAGTATATTTTCTTCTAAGCAATTAAATTATTTCTAAATTGTCTTTTAAAATCAGTAAAATAGCCCTGGCCGGTTTGGCTCAGCGGTTAGATTGTCGGCCTACAGACCAAGGGGTCTCAGGTTCAATTCATGGTCAGAGGCACGTGCCTGGATTGCAGGTCTGATCCCCTGCCCAGGTCAGGGGTAATGGGGTCCTTTCTCACATCAATGTTTCTCTCTACCTCCCTCCTTCCCTTCCATTCTGTCTAAAAGTCAATGGAAAAATATCCTTGGGTGAGGAGTAACAAAAAAAAAAGTTAAAAAAAAAAAAAAAGGCAGTATAATTAATATAAAGAAAAACATGTATGTATGTGGGAGGAAAATGTTATTCTCCACATGCTCACACAAATATTTCACTTTTGTGTTAATTTTAATCCAACTACACATTTTGTTTTCATTTACCATACCAAATATCAATTTCAATAGTCATTATTGAAACTGACTCAATAGTCATTATTGAGTCATATCAAGGTGTTACATCATAATTGATATGACTTTTTTTAATTGATTTTTTTAGCGAGGAAGGGAGAAAGAGAAACATCACTGTGAGAAATACATTGGTCAGCTGCCTCCTGCATGCCCCCTAGTGGGGACTGAGCCTGAAACCCGGGCATGTGCCCTGACCGGAAATCGAACCCAGACCTCTCAAGTCCATGGGATGATGCTCAATCCACTTAGCAACACAACCCGGGCTTATGTAACTCTTCTCATACTGCTATACGTGGGTTTACCATTTTTTAAACTTTTATAGATATGCTTTCTATATAAAGTAGCTATTTTTTTCTTCTGCAAAATTATTTAAGGAAAAGTCCCAGAATTACTGGCTCAGCAGATTTAATTCCTTTGTACACAGACCTAACATTCTTTATTATACCAGTACGGACTTTTTCAGTTTAAGCTATAGTGACAAAAATCCTACAGATTCCATTAGCTTTATTCTCAAAAGCTTCTCTTCAAAATAGGGCTGAAAATAGGAGGAAATCAAGATGTAAAGCAGTGAAGAGAACTTACATGATCTGGTTCCAACTGGCAGTGACGAGCCAAGGCATGAAGCAGCCTCTGAATGTAAGCTTTGAAGATGCCATGAATAACTTCATCATTAGTTTTGTACAAATGCTCCCCTAGTCGGTACCAAAAGTTAAAGGAAATTTCTACTACCTGTTAAATTAGAGAGAAAAGGAAAATGGAATGGAATAAATTTTATTATTATTAGGGCGATGTAGAAAACATAATATACTTTTTTTTTTTTTAATCCTCACCCGAGGACATTTTCCCATTTTTTTGTTCAGGTAGAGTGGGAGGGAGAGAGAGGAACAGAGAGAGAGAGAGAGAGAAACATCGATGTAAAAGGAACACATCGAGTGGCTGCCACCCGCACGACCGACCAGGGCCGGGGACAAACTGCAACCGAGGTACATGCCCTTAGCGGGAACCGAACCCGGGTCTCTCCGGACCGCAGGCCGACGCTCTAACCGCTGAGCCAAACCAGCTAGGGCGAAAACATAATATACTTTTAAGTAATATAAGTGGAACCAATTAAGAAGCCATATTTTTCTCTAATAGATTTATTATCCTCCTACCAAATTATTTTCCCATGTTAGGTCCAAAACTCTATTTAGGATGACTGGTTTTACATTCTGTTTAACCTGGGATAACTTCTCTAATAGTATACTAGATTCTGAATTTAGAGAAACAGACAGAAAAATGGAAGTCTCTTCAAGCACTTTTTCCCAAATTCTGAAATCATTACATTTTATGTTTGAGATGAGAGCACCTCCAACCAGACAAACCATCTGCAAATCCCTGAACATATCAACCTTATGTCACTTTTATTCACTTGATTTCTTGAATGGGAGAGAAAGGGAAAACAGACTTTATCCCAGCTTATTTACTGATAGCACCGTTTAAAGGAGTAATAATTATTATGTAGTGCTATAACTCCTTCCAAAAATGTTTTGAGTATTTTAAATTGATTTTTAAAGACAGAGAAGGAGGGAGGGAGCAACATCGACTTATGGTTCCACTCATATATGCATTCATTGGTTTTTTCTTGTAATGTGCCTTGACTGGGGATTGAACCAACAACCTTGGTGTAGCAGGATGATGCTGCAACCAACTGAACTACCTGACCAGGGCAAAATGTTTTGAATTTCATCCTTATCTAGATATACTCATGATATTATATCAAACAAATATCTTTTATATGGTAATAAAAAAAAAGGGATGAGAATCACAGCTATTGCGCCCTCCCTAGGAGGATAACTTTTCCCATCAAAGATCCAAACCCAACTTGGGAGTTCTTTGTCACTTCTTATACTATAAAGAGAAGATAAAACTACTTGAATAAATGAAGAGATTAAAAAAAAAATCTAGCAAACTTAAAGGAGGCAGGGTATTTCACAACAAATTTTAGAATGCAGGAGACCCTTTAAGTCCTTTTAATACCTTTCTCATTTCTATTCATAATTTGGAGACAAATTTTTGTTGTTAAGATTTGTGGAGGTGCTGTTGAGATTTGGTGTGAGCTTTTTTAAAGCTATAAAGCCCTAAAGAATAACTAGAAATAAATTGGGGGCTCAGTAGAAAGGTAGTAGGCTTTCTTTCTAACTAACTCATTGAGGTACATACACTACTCAGCCCAGCTAACCTGATAAAAAACAGAAAAGGACTCAAAGCAGAAGCCCAAATATTAAAAAATAAAATAAATAAAAATCCAATACAGAGGCAACCCCCACATCAGATCAATTAAAAATGAGACTATAATTTCCAATGAATACAAAGCTGGATGGGAGACAATGGAATATAGATAATATGCAACATAAAACTTGGAGAATAATAGCTTTAGCTTAGTATAAACACTACCTCATACTGAGGATGTCCTGCACAGATAAGAAGCAGTTCTAGAGTTCGCAGGTCCCCAAGACCTTGGCCTGGAGTACAAACAATTTTTTCAAGAAAAGTTTCACATAGTTCAGTGAAAATCCGACAGTAATTCAGAACTCTGTAGATGAAAGAGGAAGGAGAGCACCAAGTCAGAAATCTCAAAATTTTATGTACATATTCACCAATAGTTAAAAAAAAAAGGATCTTCAGCCCAAGGGACATGTAGTGATGATCTGCTATGCTATACTCCAATCTCCATGACATCCAACATTGCCTACACCATATACATTTTTATTTATTATTGTTTGGTTAATCCTCATCCGAGGATTTTTTGCATTGTTTTTTCCATTGATTTTTAGAGAGGGGAAGGGGAGGAGGGGGCTTTGCTGTGAGAGACACACATCGATTGGTTGCCTCCTGCATAACCCCAATTGTGGCCGAGGATCAAACCTGCAATCCTTTGGTCCACGGGAGACTCTAGCCGCTGAGCCAAACTGGCCAGGGCCTATCATCATATACTTTTATACATGTAAGCAAATGACTCATAAGTCACTTCAAATTCTTAATTACTAAGCATAAAATCACACTTGATACACTTCAAAGTTCATCCCTAATGCTTAGAGCCTTACCCCTTTAAGTGTAAAAAATTACTACTTTCCATGATTACAACCTTTCCTGCTGCATCCAATTTGCCACTCCAGGTTCAAATGAGAAGAGAGAGCATCTTTAGGATGCAGTGTGTATATTTATAGTCACATAGAATAGATAAATAATAAAAAGTGACTACAAGAACACAACTGTGTGTGAACCCAGGGTTATTGCCTTAAATACTCACTTGTCTAAATCTTCACGTGCAACAGCCATATGATATGCAGACTCCAATGTCAGGACTCCTTGAAACAGTTGCATGGCTAATGGCAAGTTAGTCTCCACATTCTCAATGGCATAGAGAGCTGAGCACACACAGTCTGAAGCAGCTTCGTGTAGGTTGGATGAGGTCTTATCTTGTTGCTGGGAAATAGAAATAGGAAATAATTATGATCATTAGGCTGTAATCCAAGTAATATGTAAACAAGTATAGCCTGTTTCTGAACATGTAATTTTTTAATTTTTTTACAGACAGAGTGGGAGGGAGAGAGGGAAGAGAGAGAGATACATTGAGTGGTTGCCTCCCGCATAACCCCAACCAGGGCCGGGGACAAACTGCAACCAAGGTACATGCCCTTAGCGGGAACCGAACCCAGGACTCTCTGGTCCGCAGGTTTATGCTCCAACCGCTGAGCCAAACTGGCCAGGGCTGAACATGTAATTTAAATGCCTAAAGCCCGATAGCCATGGCCTTCAATGAGACAACATCCATCAATATTCCCAGTGCTATTTCTATTTCCCTATATGCCAAGCAAATCAGCCTTTCTGTACTTCAATCATGATCACATGACTTTTAAAATCCATGTTTATCCATATCAGTCCCTCCAAATAAAATGCCATGTGTGTTTGCTGCCCTGTTTTAGTCTGTGGAAATTTTTTTCCATCCTTTTTCTGACATTCAAGCTCTATCTAAAATGAAAGGGTCTAACAAGTATCACGGACCTATTACATTATACATCAATGTGGCATTTCAGAATATCAAGGTTAAAGAGAGGCTCTTAAAGCTTCTGGGGAGGAGAGGAGAAGGTAACTTAGAAAGGAGCAAAAATCAGACAGTTATCCAGCTTCCCTTTAGCAATGATGTATGCTAGTATACAAGAGGCCTTGACATTTTTATTTTTTTTATCCTCACCTGAGGACATTTTTCCATTTTTTGTTCAGGTAGAGTGGGAGGGAGAGAGAGGAACAGAGAGAGAGAGAGAAACATCGATATGAAAGGAACACATCGAGTGGCTGCCACCCACACGACCGACCAGGGCCGGGGACAAACTGCAACCGAGGTACATGCCCTTAGCGGGAACCGAACCCGGGTCTCTCCGGACCGCAGGCCGACGCTCTAACCGCTGAGCCAAACCGGCCAGGGCGAGGCCTTGACATTTTTAAAGGAAAAGAATATTGAGCCCTGGCCAGTTTGCTCCGTGGTTAGAGCATCAGTCAGCCCATGGACCGAAGGGTCACAGGTTCAATCTCATCACCGGTCGGAATCATGCAGGAAGCAACCAATCGATGTGTCCCTCTCGCATCGATACTTCTCTCTCTGTCCTCCTCCCTCCCTTCCGCACTCTGTAAAAATCAATGGAAAAAATAGCCCCAGGTGAGAATTACCAAAAAAGAAAAAAAAAAGAGCAACTGATACAAATTAGAGCAAATCAGAAGGTTCGAGAAAGGAGGCTTCCAGGGTTACTATTTAGGAGAGTACAGTTGAGAGGCTGGATAAATTTAGTGAAGGTATATTAGCCTTTTGTAAAAAATAAAAAACATGGACATTTAGAACACCCTAGGGGGGTGGGGAGAGCTGTCTAAATAGGAGAGAACACAGATGCAAATTATTCTTAGGTTATTCTTAGATTTAGTGGAAAAATATTCATTGTATTACTGTTTTAAAAGTTAAATAATAAATGTTCAGATTTATACTTTTATATATATCAAGCATTATATTTTTAAAGTTTTAAAAATAAGAACTATAGGAGAAAAAGTTATATAAAAAAGTAGTGGTCCAAAAACAAAGCAAACCAAAATATGGTAAGAATGAGAATATATTTGACCCTGATGCTAGAAAAACTCTTCTAAGTAACAGAGGCGTCCTGACACTGGATTAGTAGAGAAGATAATATAATCCTGGCACACTACTTAGTAGCTTGTTCCTTACCCCAACCTCAGTTCCCAGAAGTCATCACTCTTTTAAGTTTGAAGTATATTCTAGACTGTCCTCCATTCATATATAATCATGTTTATAAAATTTTTTTTAATTTTTTTTTTTTTTTTTTTTAGAGAAAGAGGAACGGAGAGATAAAATCATCAATTGGCTGTCTCTTAAACACCCCCTACTGGGGACTGAACCCAAAACTGGGGATGTGCCCTGACCAGGAATCTAGCCAGGACCTCTCAGTCCATGGGATGATACTCAATCCACTAAGCCACACCAGCCGGGCACGTTTATAAAAACTTTAAACAGCCCTGGCCAGTTTGGCTCAGCGGTTAGAGCGTCGGCCTGCGGTCTGGAGAGACCCAGGTTCGGTTCCCGCTAAGGGCACGTACTTTAGTTGCAGTTTGTCCCCGGCCCTGGTTGGTCGTGCGGGTGGCAGCCACTCGATGTGTCCCTTCACGTCGATGTTTCTCTCTCTCTCTCCCTTCCTCTCTCTCCCTCCCACTCTACCTGTACAAAAAATGGAAAAATATCCTCGGGTGAGGATAAAAAACAAAACAAAAACAAAACTTTAAACAAACGCGGGACTTAAATTTAAATTTAAATAAATAGACATGGAAACAAAGACAATGACTAGCAAACCAATTATTAGCATCCTTAGATTCTGATGCAAGCATGACTGCAGAAATATAATAACAATGAAATATAATAACCAAAAATATCTCCTTGAAAAATATGCTTTCCTTCTTTCTTTAATTCAGTGATATCAGTCTAGTATTATGTTACCATCTTCTAAATACCTCAACCATTAAACACAGAGCTTCCATACTAATATGTCTTCATGGAATGAAACCATCCGGAAAAAAAAAGAAAAAGTCACTCTCATCTGCAAAGACCTGTTCAATATTTGTGCTTGAGATACTGCTACATTTCTTGTTCTTTACTTATTCCTACCATCAAAAATGACAACTAGCCCTTAGAGCGTCGGCCTGCGGTTCAGAGAGACCTGGGTTCAGTTCCCGCTAAGGGCACGTATCTCGGTTGCAGTTTGTCCCCAGCCCTGGTTGGGTCATGCGGATGGCAGCCACTAGATGTGTACCTTTCACGTCGATGTTTCTCTCTTTCTCTTTCCCTCCCGCTCTATCTGAACAAAAAATTTAAAAAATGTCCTCAGGTGAGGATAAAAAAAAAAAAAAAAGTCAACTAAACTACAGAACAAACATCTCTCAGAACTGCCTGCCATCAAGCTGAAAGGAAGTCCTACAACTACAAGATTAAAGAAGCAGCCACATCGAGACTGCAATTAAGACTCAATTACAACAGAAGGGTGTAAAATCCACACGAGGGGTGCACCTCAAGGGCACGGTTGGGTAAGCAGAGATGCTGTGCCACTGGACCCTACAGGACATCTACTACAACAGGCCACCCTAGGAAGCCTAGAGATATAGCAACTCTACCTAATACATAGAAACAAACACAGGGAGGCAGCCAAAATGAGGAGACAAAAAAATATGTCCTGCCCTGGCCGGTTTGGCTCAGCGGTTAGAGCGTCGGCCTGCGGTACGGAGAGACCCGGGTTCGGTTCCCGCTAAGGGCACGTACTTCGGTTGCGGTTTGTCCCCGGCCCTGGTTGGTCGTGCGGGTGGCAGCCACTCGATGTGTCCCTTTCACGTCGATGTTTCTCTCTCTCTCTCCCTTCCTCTCCCTCCCTCCCACTCTATCTGTACAAAAAATGGAAAAATGTCCTCAGGTGAGGATAAAAAAAAAAAAAATGTCCCAAATGAAAGAGAACAAAACTCCAGGAAAAGAACTAAACAAAATGGAGATAAGCAATCTAATAGACGCAGAATTCAAGACACTGCTTATAAGGATGCTCAATGAACAGTGAGAATTTCAAGGAACTTCATGAGTATGCCAAGGAACTTAGTAAGGACTTCAAAAGCATAACAAAAGACCCGTTAGAAATGAAGGATGCACTAACTAAAAAAAAAAAAAAGAATCAATAATAGAGTAGGTAAAGCCAAGAAGCAAACCATAAGGAAGCAAAAAACACCCAATTAAACATCAAAAAGAAAAAAGAATCCAAAAAAATGAGGATAGTGTAAGGAGCCTGTGGGACAACTTCAAGGGTACCAACATTTGCATCATGGGAGTGCCAGGAGAAGAGAGAGAGCAAGAAATTGAAAATCTATTTGAAAAAATGACAGAAAACTACCCTAACTTGGTGAAGGAAACAGACATACAAGTCAAGGAAGCACAGAGTCCCAAACAAGATAAACCCAAAGAGGTCCACACCAAGACACATCATCATCAGAATGCAAAAGATTAAAGACAAAGATAGAATCTTAAAAGCAGCAAGAGAAAAGCAGTTCATTACCTACAATGGAACTCCCATAAGGCAGCCGATTTCTCAAAAGAAACTTTGCAGGCCAGAAAGGAGTCGCAAAAAATATTTCAAGTGATGAAAAGCAAGGACCTACCACCAAGGTTACTCTATCCTGCAAAGCTATCATTTACAATCGATGGCCGTATAAAGTTTCCCAGACAGGAAAAGCTAAAGGAGTTCATCACCACCAAACCAACATTATATGAAATGTTGACGGGTCTTCTTGAAGAAGATAAAAAAAGATGAACAATAAAATGACAATAAGATATATATCCATCAACAATCGAATCTACAGACAAAATGAGCAAGCAGAACAGAAATAGACTCAGATACAGAGAACTTTTTGTTGGTTGCCAGATGGGAGGGGGGTTGGGTGAAAAAGATGAAGGGATTGAGAAGCACAAATTGGTTGTCAGACTGATGAACCTCAAAGGGAAGGGGGGAGGTAGGGCAGGAAGAGAGAAACCAAAGAACTTATATGCATATATGCATAACCAATAGACACAGACAATAGTGTGGGCAAGGTAGGAGGGGGTAGTGAGAAGGTTGGGGGGGGGAGAGGGACATATGTAATACATTCAATAATAAAGATAAGTTTAAAAAGAAAAAAAAATACAGAAAAATGTTATTACTAGGCACTATTACTTTCAAACTTTAAGAAAGAAATGCACAAGCACATAAAAAGACATTACTTCTGCCCGGGCCAGTCTGGCTCAGCAGTTGGAGCATTGGCCCACGGACTGAGGAGTCTCAGGTTCGATTCCTGTCAAGGGCATGTACCTCAGTTTGTGTTCAGTCTCCAGCTGTGGTCCAGGTCATGCGGGAGGCAACCAATTGATGTGTCTCTTTCACATTGATACTTCTCTCCCTCTTTCTGCACCTCCCCCAATCTGAACATAAATGAAAAATATTATCAGGTAAGGATTTTTTAAAAAGATGTATACACTTCTTTCCTACTAATCTCAAAAACCCAAAATCTTTACTACATATACCCTGATGTTGAACTATCTCAAATAAAAACATAATATTCCGATCTATAAGTATCTCAAAGATCCCATGAACATTATTAGACACATAAAACTTTATACTTTTAAAAAATGAAAAAAAGAGACCAAAGGTTTTTCTGTTATTTGAATTTTAATATGTAAATCACTGATCTACACATGAGATTCCGTTCGTATTAAACCTAACTACATTCTAATATTAAAGCTAATACTTAAATTTGGTACCTGGCAACAAAAAGACAATGCTGCTTTCCTACTATACACCTGCCAACCACTGTTCACAAATAAGAAAACATTGTTATGACCCAGAAGTTTAGTTACTATGGCTATGTGGCAGAAATACTTTAATATATAAAGTTATTACTTACCAAAACCTCAAAAAGGAGTGCTAGTAACTTATTGTTAGCCATGAAGTTACTGTCCAAAACGCCTAGGTTAAACCAACTTCCCAAACAGCGAAAGACCTTCATAAGCATTTTCTCATCTGTTCCTGCTTTTTCTACACAGGTCATCTGAAAAGAAGGGGTGAAAAAATGTCAATCTTTCTATTTAAGCCATTATTACAATCACCTTGCAGATGTAATTATAAAAAGGATGAAAACAGTAACAGCTAACAGAAGTGCTTTGTAAGTATAAGACTTTGTTCTCAACACTCTTGACTCAGTTAATTCCCACTGACACTCTATAGGTAGGTGTTATTATTATCTCACTTGTGAAGCTGAGATACAAAAAGGTTATACACTTGCCCAAAGATAGATATGTTTCAGAAATAACTGTTTCTTAGATGCCACTTCAACATTAATGTAATCTTATTAGAACTGTTTTGTTTTTAATTTTTTTTTTCTTTATTGATTTGAGAGAGAGAGGAAAAGAGACAGAGAAAGAGACAGAAACATCAATGAGAGAGAACATCAAGTGGCCACCTCCTGCATGCCTCCTACTGGGGATCAGGCCCAAAAACTGGGCATGTGCCCTGACCGGAAATCAAACCGGCGACTTCTTGATGCATGGGTCGACGCTCAACCACTGAGGCACACTGGCTGGGCTATAAAAGCGATTCTAAAAAGTTAGACTAGAGCCCTGGCCAGTGTGGCTCAGCAGTTAGAGAGTCAGACCATGGATCAAAGATTCGCAGGTTCAATTCCAGGCAAGGGCATGTACCTCAATTGCGGTTGGGTCCCCAGCCCTGGCCGGGATCGTGTGGTAGGCAACCAATTGATGTCTCTCTCTCACATCGATGTTTGTTTTTCTTTCTCTCTTTGCCCCTCCTACTCCATCTGAAGATAAATGGAAAAATATCCTAGGTGAGGCTGAAAAAAATAAAAGCGAGACCAAAGTTCATCATTGTTTCTCTTTGCAAACTGTTTTTTGTGACGTATACTTTTCCAAAGTGAGGTGTAATGTAACTTTTTCTGGATAGAAAGTGTTTAAATCACAACTGTGGAATTATAGGAGTTCTGCTGATGATAATAAGATGAAATAATCAAAAACAGAAGGTGCCCCATTTTAACAACTAACATAAACTTTTAGTAGAAAAACCTATAACTTCATTTTGGAACTGTTTCTCATAAAATAAGGGTTTTCCCCATCATTTAGAGCGCCAGATGAATTAGAAGCTGTAGAATTTAATCTTCCAAGTACCCGTGTACCTTAATTAAACTTGATCATCATAATGTCAAATTGCCATGATCTCACTAAAGAATTTCCATTTGCTGTCAGTTAAAAATAGAATCGTGAGCCTGGCCAGTGTGACTCAGTGTATTGAGCATCGTCCCATGGACCGAGAGGTCCTGGTTTGATTCCCGGGCAGGGCACATGCATGGGTTGCAGGCTTGATCCCCAGTATGGGGCATGCAGGAGGCAGCCAATCGACGTTTCTCTCTCACACCGATGTTTTTATTTCTCTCTCCCTTACTCTCTAAAAAAAAAAAAATCAATAAAAACATATTTAAAATAAATAAAGAAAGAAATAAAATCCTGCCCTGGCCTGTTAGGCTCAGCAGTGAGTACCAATGAGTCGCAGGTTCAGTTCCAATCAAGGGCACGTACCTCAGTTTCAGTTCGTCCCCAGCACTGGTCAGGTCGTGTGGGAGGCAACCAGTTGATGTGTCTCACTCACATCGATGTCTCTCTCTCTCTCTCTCTCTCCCTCTCCCTCCCTGCCTCCCTGCCTCTCACTCTTTCTCTCCCTTCCAGCCACTCTATCTGATGATAAATATCCTCAGGTGAGGATTAAAAAAAAAAAATCCCGAGTACATTTTTATCCTTTTGACTGGAGGCATTGTCTTTTTCCTTTGTAAATGCAATACAGTAAACAATGTAATAACTTAAAAAAAGTGTTTAAAAATAATCTTTACAAGCAATGGGTTAGAAATATCCTAATTACCATGGAGTTTAGAAGGCAAGGGGGATATGGAATCCCACAATGATCTAAATGCTGACACACTTCTGTGTAGCCATGTTCTCCCTATGTTTGCAGTATCAGGCAATAATGATAACATACTTATCAATTAGTTTGAACTATACTGAAATGAAGGAAGAAAAGAAGAAATGATTGAAGTAAATTCATGGCAACCACACAAACACTCTCTCTAGACTCTTGGATGCTAGAGACATTGTTTTGGAAAAACCCTACATTAGAGACGAAATTCTGCTAATTAAATCAAGCATACACCATAAAGCTTTGGAATTGAGTTACCTTCAGTTCCTCTTTGAAAACTATATTAGTAAACACTCCGTGTTTTGCCTCAAAGCTGAAAATAAATGCCAAAAGAGCTCATCAGTAAAAATAAAGTGGAAGAATTGATCTTGGATTAACAAAATGGAGAATGAAGGGAGGAAAATATATTGAAGGCCAGGCTTAGTTCAGCTATAAAAACAAGAATAATAATATTAAAAACTTTTCATATTAATATTAAACTTTTAATATTAAAAAAAAAAGCTCAACACAGTATTTAAAAATGGGCCCATCTGTCCATTTGACAGTTTCAGACCATGCCAGAGCACCACCCTACCACCTTCATGAGTGACACACTCAAGGGGCAAACTCATCAGGCACCAGAGGCCTGCTGAAGCGAGTCCTGCTCCATGGGGTTGGCACCTGCATAGAAGCTCCTTCACTGTAGTCAGGGCCAGTACTCAGCAGCCAGCTGGCCTGGGGGTAAATCCCTCCGCTGACAATACCAAAAGCAATCAAGGCTCAACAGAAGGGGGCACACCTGGATTGCCAAGCTCAAGTGACGGGGGAGGCTGAGCCATGAGGCCCTACATGTCACCTACTACATAAGGCCACTTTACCAAGAACCAGAGATGTAGAAGCTCTACCTAATACATAGAAACAAACACAAGGAGGCAGCGAAAAGGAGGAGACAAAGAAATGTTACAAATAAAAGAACAGAGCAAAACTCCAGAAAAAGAACTAAGTAAAATGAAGACAAGCAATTTACCAGATGTAGAGTTCAAAACACCATTTATAAGGATGCTCAATGAACTCGGGAAGAGTAGATGACCTCAGTGAGAACTTCAACAAACAGATAGGAAACATGAAAATGAAGACAGAAAACATTTTTTAAAAGCCAGAAATAAAGCCCTGGCCCATTTGGCTCAGCGGTTAAAGCGTCAGCCTGCAGACCAGAGAGACCTGGGTTCGGTTCCGCTAAGGGCACGTACCTCAGTTGCAGTTTGTTCCCGGCCCCGGTTGGGGTTGTGTGGGTGGCAATCAGTCAATGTGTCTCTCTCACTTCGATGTTCTCTCTGTCTGTCTTCTTCCCTCTCTACCTCCTGCTCTATCTGAAGATGAATGCAAAAATGTCCTCGAGTGAGGATTAACAAAAAAAAAAGAGTCAGAAATGAAGAATAATTGAAATGAAGACTACAGTACAGTAAATCAACACTACAGTAGATGAAACGAAGGATCAAATCAGGGTTTTGAAAGATAAGCAGAAAACACCCAATCAGAACAGCAAAAAAAAATTTTTTTTAAAGGAATCCAAAAAAGTGATTGTTTAAGGAGCTTCTGGGACAACTTCAAGGGTACTATTATTTGCATCCAAGTGCTGAAAGGAAAAGAGAGAGAACAAGGAATTGAAAATCTATTTAAATTGTGCTGAACTGGCCCTGGCCGGTTTGGCTCAGCGGTTAGAGCGTCGGCCTGTGGTCCAGAGAGACCCAGGTTCGGTTCCCGGTAGGGGAGCGTGCCTCGGTTGCAGTTTGTCCCCGGCCCTGGCTGGTCATGCAGGTGGCGGCCGCTCGATGTGTCCCTTTCACGTCGATGTTTCTCTCTCTCTCTTCCTCTCTCTCCTTCCCACTCTATCTGAACAAAGCATGGAGAAAATGTCTTCAGGTGAGGATTAAAAAAAAAAAATTGTGCTGAACTGAACTGAAATAAACAAGATAAACCCAAAGAGGCTCACACCAAGACACATAATTAAAATACGAATAGTAAAAGACAAAGACAGGCCCTGGCCAGTTTGGCTCAGTGGTTAGAGCGTCGGCCTGCGGTCCGGAGAGACCCAGGTTCAGTTCCCGCTAAGGGCACGTACTTTGGTTGCAGTTTGTCCCCGGCCCTGGTTGGTCATGCGGGTGGCAGCCACTCGATGTGTCCCTTCACATCAATGTTTCTCTCTCTCTCTCCCTTCTTCTCTCTCCCTCCCACTCTATCTGTACAAAAAATGGAAAAATATCCTCGGGTGAGGATAAAAAAAAAAAAAAAAAAAAAAGACAAAGACAGAATCTTAAAAGCAGCAATTGAAAAGTAATTAGTTCCCTATAAGGGGCTCCCATAAAACTGTCAGCTGATTTCTCACCAGAAATTCTGCATGCCAGAAGAGATTGGCACAAAATATTCAAAGAAATGAAAAGCAAAGACCTACAAATCAAAATTACTCCACCCAGCAAAGCTATCATTTAGAATAGAAGAACAGATCAAAATCTCCCCAGACAAGAAAAAGCTAACGGAGTGAGTTCATCACCACCAGCGGTATTACAAGAAATGTTAAAGGGTCTTCTTTAAAAAGAAAAGGGGACAAAAGACTTAAAAATATGACTAATAAAATGGCAATAAATACACATCTATCAACAATTACTTAAATGCAAATGGATTAAATCAAAAGAGACTGGTTGAATGGATACAAAATAAGTATCTTACTTATATTATCTACAAGAGACTCATTTCAGATTGAAAGACATGCACAGAACGAAAGTAAAGGGATAGAAAAAGATACTTCATGAAAATGGAAGTAACAACAAAAAACTGGGCAGCAATACATATACCACACAAAATAGATTTTAAAACAAAGGCGGTAACAAGAAACAACGAAGGACCCAGCAATTCCACTTCTGGGTATTTATCCAAAGAAACCCAAAACACTACATCAAAAAGACATACACATCCACCATATGTTCACTGCAGCACTATTTACAATAGCCAAGATATGGAAGCACCTAAGTGTCTATCAATAAATAAATGGATAAAGAAGTGGTGCATATATACAATAAAATATGACTCAACCAT